TGCAGCCGTGCAGACCTCCGCAGTCAGCTACGAGGGGCAGAAGGACGTTGCTGTCTCGACCTCACTTTATCTGCCCTCTGCCCCGTCTCTCTCTTACCCAGGACTATGAGTTAGAAGCAGAGAAACTAAGGTCCCTTCTTGATTTGGAGAACGGAAGGAGCAGCCACGTCACCAAGAGAGCCAGGCTCCAGTCCCCTGCCGCCAAAGTGAGGGAAGAGGTGAGCCCCGTGGGCAGGCCTGGGGGAGGCGCAGCACGCAGGCCTCGGAGACGCACCCCAACAGGGGAGTGGGGCCCAGAGCCCTCCTGGGTGCAGGCAGACCCGTTCAGTAAGAAAAGATGATAAACTTGTTCTCAGGCAGTGACGCGGATATACCTGGAAAGAGCCTGCCCCAGGGGTCTGGGGGAAGTACACGTGGAGGCCGGGGGTTAGCTCCTTCCGCGTACGGGTACGTTTCGGCTCAGAGAGAGAGACCTGCTTACGGTCGCAGCAGACTTTCAGTCCTCTTACTCTAAATCCAGTTTCTCCGCTAGCTGAGACTACAGCACAACTCCAGGTAGCAGGAGATCAGAAGCTACCCTCTATCCCCAAAGGCCAAACTTCTCAAACACGGTCCGGCTCCCTTCTGTTCAGCCTGTTGACTCTTGTTTGCTGACTGCTCTCCTGCAGGAAGCGGCTCTTGCTGCCAAGTTCACTGAAGTTCACGCCGTCAACAGACAGAGGCTGCAGAATCTGGAGTTTGCTCTGAGTCTCCTGCGACAGGTAATGGATCTTAGGAAGACTTTCTACTTAAGACTATTCCAGCGGGTCAGAAACGAGGCCCATTCTGCCTCAAGGACACAGTCCGTGAGCTGGTGGTGGCGTCCCTGGCTAATGGACGGCACCAGCGCGAGTGCTGGCCCAGCCAGCACTTCTCTTGGCACGAAAGCAACACGTGTTCCGTCCAACAAACATTTGCCGAGTCCCCAGGGCAGGTAACTTGTTTTCAGGGGCCCACGTCTGTCCATCCATACGGTGGAAAATGACCTAGTGCCACCGTGGAAGTCTCTGTACCGAGCGCAGCAAGCAGAGTTGCAGAAGAGGGGACGGCTGCTCGTGCAGAAACATAAACATGTGGCACGTGCTAAACACGTACATGTCTCAAAGATGACAGCCTCTGGGAACAGCACCGGAGGTGGGACTGTGGCCATGGTTATAAACTACTACTTAAAAAACCTAAACTGTGTGTCTTACCACCTTCTAAAGCAACCCTAGAACTCCGTGAACCCGACAGTGAGGGAGCTTGGTGGGCAGGGTCACAGGGGGACTGGTCTCACCAGCCAGGTGGCAACAGGCCGGGCAGAGCCTTAACCACGCACTGTCTTCTCCTCCTCAGCAGCCAGAGGTGGGGGCGAGCCCCAAGCCCCTGCAGCCCGGCGCCCCGGGCTCCGCGGGGGAGGAGACGTGGAAGGTCCAGGAGGAGCTGGAGGAGGAGACTGAGCGGAGGCAGCAGCTGGAGAAGGAGGTCAGGAGCGCCCAGGAGGAGGTCCAGGCCCTGCAGCAGCGGAGCCCACAGGAGGCGGTGGTGCAGAAGCAGGTGCTGAAGAAGGTGCCAGACCCGGCGCTGGAGGAGAGCTTCCAGCAGCTGCAGCAGATCCTGGCTGCGGAGCGGCACAAGAACCAGCTGCTGCAGGAGGAGCTGGAGGCGCTGCGGCTGCGGCTGCGCGCCCTGGAGCAGGAGAGCCTGGACGGGGGGCAGGAGTACATGGTCAAGGAGGTCCTGCGCGTCGAGCCGGACCGAGCCCAAGCGGACGAGGTCCTGAGGCTGAGGGAGGAGCTGGAGGAGCTGAGGCGGCAGAAGGGCACCCGGGAAGCGGAGGCGGCTCTCCTGCAGCAGCGCATAGCGGCCCTGGCCGAGGAGAAGGACCGGGCCCAGGAGAAGGTCACCGAGAAGGAGGTGGTGAAACTGCAGAATGACCCCCAGCTGGAGGCCGAGTACCGGCAGCTGCGGGAGGCCCAGCAGCGGGAGGGCAAGCTCAGGGCGGAGCACGAAGAGGAGCTGAGCTTCCTCCAGGACAAGCTCAAGAGGCTGGAGAAGGAACGCGCCATGGCAGAGGGGAAGATGACGGTGAAGGAGGTGCTCAAGGTGGAAAGGGATGTGGCCACCGAGAGGGAGGTCGGCGACCTCAAACGCAGGTATGAGGATGAGGCCGCCAAGGCTCGCACCAACCAGAGGGAGAAGACTGAGCTGCTTCGCAAGATTTGGGCCCTGGAGGAGGAAAATGCCAGGGTGCTGGTGCAGGAGAAGGTGCGGGAGATTGTCCGGCCGGACCCCGAGGCAGAGAGGGAAGTCGCCAACCTCCGCATGGAGCTTGTGGAGCAGGAGCGCAAGTACCGGGCGGCCGAGGAGCAGCTGAAGAGCTACCAGAGCGAGCTGGAGGCGCTCAGGAGGCGGGGCCCCCAGGTAGAGGTCAAAGAGGTGACTAAGGAAGTCATCAAGTATAAGACTGACCCCGAGATGGAGAAAGAGCTTCAGAGGCTCAGGGAGGAGATTGTGGACAAGACCAGACTTATTGAAAGGTGTGACTTAGAAATCTACCAGCTGAAGCAAGAGATCCAGTCCCTGAAGGACACCAAACCCCAGGTACAGACCAAGGAGGTGGTCCAGGAGATCCTCCAGTTCCAGGAAGACCCCCAAACCAAAGAGGAAGTGGAGTCTCTGCGGGCCAGGCTCTCAGAGGAACAGAAGAGACAAGTCGATCTGGAGAGAGAGAGGGCGTCCCAGGAGGAGAAGATCAGGCAGAAGGAGGAGGAGCTGTCCCGGGTGAAGGAGAAGGTGGTCCAGCAGGAGGTGGTCAGGTACGAAGAGGAGCCCAGCCTGCGGGCAGAGGTGGACGCCTTCACCGAGAGCATCGATGTGGAGCTGAGGCAGATCGACAACCTCCGCGGGGAGCTGCGGCGGCTGCAGCGCAGGCGCGCGGAGCTCGAGCGCCAGCTGGAGGAGCTGGACCGCGAGCGGCAGGCCCGCAGGGAGGCCGAGCTGGAGGTGCAGCGCCTGAAGCAGCGGCTGGCCGACCTGGAGAAAGAGGAGGGGGAGGCCCGGGAGAAGGTGACCCTCAAGCAGAAGGTGGTGCTGCAGCAGGACCCGCAGCAGGCCAGGGAGCACTCTCTGCTCAAAGTGCAGCTGGAGGAAGAACGGCACCGGCGGCAGGTCCTGGAGAGCGAGCTCGAGACCCTGAAAAAGAAGCTCGTCAACCTGGAGAAGATGGAGGTCAAGGAGAAGGTGGTCTTCTCTGAAAGCGTCCAGGTAGAGAAAGGCGACACCGAACAAGAGATCCAGAAGCTCAAGAGCAGCCTGGAGGAGGAGAGCCGGAGCAAGAGGGCGCTGGACGCAGAAGTGAGTCGGCTGGAGACCAAGCTGTCGGAGCTGGAGTTCTCTAACTCCAAGTCGTCCAAGGAGCTGGACTTCCTCAGGGAAGAAAACCACAGGCTGCAGCTGGAGCGGCAGAGCCTGCAGCTCGAGACCCGGAGGCTCCAGTCAGAAATGGAAATGGCTGCCACAGAAACCCGCGACCTGAGAAACACCCCCACGGTGGACTCGGGGACGACCCTGGACTCCAGGCTGTGGTCCCTGGAGAGAGAGCTGGACGACCTCAAGAGGCTCTCCAAAGACAAAGACCTGGAGATCGATGAGCTGCAGAAGCGCCTGGGCTCCGTGGCCGTCAAGAGGGAGCAGAGAGAGAACCACCTGCGGCGCTCCATCGTGGTCATCGACCCCGACACTGGCCGGGAGCTGTCCCCAGAGGAAGCCCATCGGGCCGGCCTCATCGACTGGAACATGTTCGTGAAACTCAGGAGCCAGGAGTGTGACTGGGAGGAAATCTCTGTGAAGGGTCCCAGTGGTGAGTCCTCCGTGATCCACGACAGGAAGTCTGGCAGGAAGTTCTCCATTGAAGAGGCCCTGCAGAAAGGACGGCTGACCCCGGCTCAGTACGAGCGCTACGTCAACAAGGATATGTCCATCCAGGAGCTGGCCGTCCTGGTGTCCGGGCAGAAGTAGGTCTGGTCCACCTCTTCACCTTCTTTGAAGCAGACAACCCGCCGGCCGTCTCCTAGCCAGAACTGCCGGGTCTTCTCCTCCCTGACCTCCCTGTGCAGGCTCCAAACCTGTGCAGAGCTGAGCCCTTCTCACTGTCATTCAACCTGGGTGAGGGACCTGCTTCATCCTCTGATGATTAGACACCTACGATGCCCCTCTTCTGTCCCTTTCCTACACACTTCCATCAATAGACTTCTTGTGTGACACCTGGAAGCTTCCCAAAAAACTAAAGCACACGACAGCCAAAGTGGAGGAGCCGTTCCACGTGCCGGCCTTCACACCCCAGGGGTCGAAAGGCCTCCCTTCCACACACCTTGGTACAAGTGTACCAATGGACTGGGCCCCTCGGGGCTGCCAACCTGCATTCACACACAACCCAGGATTCTGGCTGAGAGCCCACTTTCTGTCAGAGGTCTCCTGGTGAGCTAGATCCAGGCTCGGTGCCAGAAGAGGCGCAAAGAAAACAGAACAGCGTCTGGCCTTTGGTGCTAGAGTGAAGGTTAACTGTCAGCCAAAATGTCCCAGGAACATGCATCATTAGAGAATGTGTTGTGGTTCTGAAATTAAAGTATTTTCATAATAGACTGTTGCTAGTAGCCTTAGTTTTAATGCCTTACAAGTCTTGTGTGTTAGCTCATTGGTATTTAGGTATATACTACACTTTGATTTTTCACCAAATGAATTTTAGGTTCTGTTATCTCATATATTACGGAAGGAAATGGGAACTCTATTTATAGTGCAAAAATAAACACCTGGTGGCTTGATTCTAATTTAATGTTGTTTCTTCTTTTGCATGTGAAGCTTAGTTGCTTCTCCTGCCCCTCTTGGCTCCTGGCAGCAAGGGATAGTCCACATATACTGGCTCCCAGGGGAGGAAGAATTAGTTGCAAATACGGTAAAAAGAATTAGTTGGCAAAATGATGTTTTGGAAACCTTGAAACAATTTATTGAGTTGCTTTATACAAGATTAACAATTTCCACCCCCCGCCCCCCCATACCAACATCATCGCGCCGCAGCACAAAAGCCACAGCCCCTCTCACACCTAAGGAACGGCTGCGCCAAGGAAAGCGCCGCAGCCCCAGGCCCCGGGAGCCCGTCTGCCCGGCCATGGCTGTTTAGGTCATTCACTCTTTCGTTACCACAAATAAAGCATACAGAAGAAAAAGAAATCTCATAAACTCCCCATCAAAGAAACATTTCCCTGAGGCAAGAGGCATCACTAGATTCCTAAAAATGAGGGTATTCAGCTCCAGCTGCACACTCAATGGTACACGGGGAGGAGGGAGCGAGCGCTGCAGGGAAGGGACCTTGGGTGTTCTTGGGCGGAGAAGCCTGGAGAGTTCCCACTGCTCAGTGCTCACGGAAGGCCTCTGCAAGGCTCTGAGCTCAGCAATACAAATCTCTTCTTTGGCTCTTTTGCTACTACCTAAGACTACTCTGTAAACAAACTGGAAACCCAAGATTCAAAAAATAGATACAATGAAGGGATAAGGAATCCACTTTAGCCAGATGTGAAACACATGTTGGTTCTTACGTTAAAACAAAACAAAAAAACAAAACAAAACAAAACAAAAAACCCAGAGGCCTAGCTGGATAGCTGATAGAGGTCTTGCTCCGCTGGAAACTCGGCAAACTTCTGCATGAATGGTGAGTTACTGAGCACTGTACCCTGGAAGGCAGGGACCGAGAGAGCTGCCTGTACATTCTGAGGAGGCTGCTGACCCTTAACATATTTGCAATCACTTAGCTGAAGGGGTCAGTTCAGACGGGCCTTGCGGTGCACACTTCACAGGACTGGCAAGCGCCCCAAACGTCCTTGTGAAGCAGCCGCTGGTGGAGTGCACTACAGGCAGCTGTCCTAGTCTGTCACTGACGCACTCTCCAAGTTCATCAGCGCTCCACCCTCAAGTCAGCGCACAGCTCTGCCGCCTGGAAAGCCCTAGGACGTCAAGGCCCGTTTCTACACGGCAGACGCTTCACAGGGGCCTGTTCCCGCAGCTCTGCCTGAGAATGGTTTCTAAATAAAACAAACTGGAATGTCTGTGACTTGGAACCCCTTGTATCCTTGGCCCTCAGAGATGAAGGGCTTTGGGGCTCTTCAGTCCACCTGAATGAACTCTGAAAAACAAAATGGGGGCCCTGGCTCTACTGGGACCTGGGGGCCCAGATGACCTTCAAGTCAGGACGGCACAGATTAGGATGTGCAACTGTAAAAAACTCAAACTGGCTATGTCTTAAATACAGACATATCTTTTTTAAAAAGTCTTTATCTGAGATCCACTCAGAGGGCTGAATGGACGTGTGTCTAATTCTGCTCCACCATAAAGGCACTGGAATTATGTCTTACTATAACATGACATGCGGAAAGCAGTCCCATTCTATCCAATGCATTAATGGTAATAATGAAACATGGACCAAAATAAGTGTCTTTAAAAATCCTGTCACAATTGTTGAATCTACAAAGGTCTTTTCTCTGAAAGAGCTTCATTGTCATGTTCAGCAGAGAAGCTGGCCCCCACCACGATGAGCACGCATTAGGTGTTCTGAGTGTTTTTCAAAAAGACAAGGTAAGTCTCCCAGCTGTGTGTCAGCCTGGGTTTTTGTCCTGTTGAGCACACAGCCTGAGGATGGGACGGACACCATGACTGTCAGGGATCCCACTGTGGCCAGAAGGAGTCCCTGATCAGGAGGGCACCATGAGGTACTCTGACCAAATGCTGGGGTCAAGCAGGTTTAAAATAGGTGTGCCCTGCTCTGCCCCGACACCAGAGCTTCGTACATGACCTAGCACGCACCCCAGCCCAGAGCTGCCCCTACAACGATTGTCCATGACCGAGCCGCGGGGCCCGGGGCACCAAGCCTGTCAGTGCCTCCGGAGAAGCCCAGGGCTGCTCCCCTTGCTGAAGGCACACCACAGTGCCAAGAGACGCTCCCCTCAGCGCTCACACCTTCGCCGGAAGGAAACCAATTGGCAGAAAGAGCATAGTGATTATCCAGTTTCCGAGACCTACTTGGTCAGCGTCCACCCAGACCTAAGTTAGGCGGGCCTTTCCTCTGAAGAGGTCACAATTTCCGTGATACACCAGCCCCTTTCCCATGAAGCTGAGAAGCATCTGGAAAAGAATAAAGAAAAAACACAAGCCTTTCAGGATCTCGGATTCCTTTAAGGCAGCAGTAACAAAAATTCAAGGGGATCACTTAACTGGCAAAAGCCCCTGAAAGCTGAGTGTTCTAAGGCTCAAACGAACCCAAAAACTCTTGCTGGAGGCTGAGATGCAGCCTGCAGTGTGCATGGCACGCATGAGGGCAGGGGCTCGCCACATGCCTGCCACTGCAGCCATGTGTGTTCTTGGTCGCCACCAACGTCCCCTGGCAGCCTGGGCTCTGTTGTGGGGTCCCCAGACCGTGCTGCACTCAAGCAGCAATAAGACTCTCACCATCAGAACCCTCAGGTCCTACGAGACCAGCTCAAGGAGCTAGAAGGCTAGCGTTCTGAGTCTGCACAGGAAAGAGAGCACAACAGATGCAGTCACACAGTTTTCCATTTACAACCACTCGATGGAATCCTCCAACCTCAAGATGTAAAGGAGACCGAAGCGGTACAAGAAAGCACTGCCCCCTTCCTTATTTTTTGCACTGAAAATAGCAAGGGCCAATAGTCATGTTTCCAATGGCTCTTCAATTATTTTCTTTTAAAGTGTGACATTCATGAAAGCAAGCAGAGGCAGGGCTATCTTTCAAATCACAAGGTCTCACCTCGGTGGTTCTGTGACCCCACATTACCCTCTTAGCTACAGCAGCAGCTGCCAGTGTGAGGTGAGTCCGTTGCAGCTACCACTTCTCTAGAGGAAAACAGAGTCCTTGTTCACACAGGCTTAGCCCCTCGCTTCCTTTCTCTAAAGAATGAAAATTTCCACCTTACAAATCTTCAATCCCTTCTTAAATGCAGTCAGCCTCCAGCATGCACTAGGAACATGTCAGCCTCGGGCCAGGGACCCACAGCACATGTGGTGGCGCACACACTCGGAAGCAACAGGACACAGGCACACGCAGCCAGGCAGCTCCCTGTCTTACTCCCACCTCGGAGCCTCACACCAGGGCCACCCCAGGCTCAGCATCCTGCAGAACAGCTCTCCCCGGACCGGAGTGGCCTCCTTGGGCCTCTCTGCAGCAGGCCTACAGTAGTAAGAAGAGCAGGAGGCCGAGACCCAGATCTCGTGAGGCTGCCCACCAGCGTCCCATTAGGTGTACTTAAGAATCAGGTTCCAACTGGGGCACTTGGGTGGCTCAGTCGGTTAAGCGTCTGACTTCGGCTCAGGTCATGATCTCATGGTTCACGGGTTCGAGCCCCACGTCAGGCTCTGTGCTGACAGCTCAGAGCCTGGAGTCTGTTTCAGATTCTGTGTCTCCCTCTCTCTCTGACCCTCCCCTGCTCACGCTGTCGCTGTCTCTCTCTCAAAAATAAATAATAGATTAAAAATTAAAAAAAAAAAATCAGGTTCCAGCTGCCTTCTCACAGCAATACCACACCCCTTTCTGAAAGCCTTTGCTCTACAGAGACATAGCCCCTGCCGTGTTCCCGCAAGTGTGCCTTCACCCTTGAACTCAACTGAAAGCTGCTCCACTTGGGCACACATGCTGGCATCACAGGTAAGGGTCCCTCCTAACAGCCCGCCACCGTGATCGTGCCGTTGGGCTCTCCCTTTCACTAAAGCTATAAGCGCCTTTTGGTGCCTGGGTGGCTGAGTCAGTTAAGGGTCCAACTCATTTATTTATTTTTGAGAGAGCTAGTGAGCCCAAGCTGGGGTGGGGCAGAAATAGAATCCGAAGCAGGCTTCATACTATCAGCACAGAGCCCAATGCAGGGCTGGAACTCACTAACAGTGAGGTCATGACCTTAGCCAAAACCAAAGAGGGAGATGCTTAACTGACTGACCACCCAGGTGCCCCACTAAGCAACTGATGTCTGATTTTGGCTCAGGTCATGATCTCAAGATTCACTGGATCAAGCCCCACATCAGGTTCCATGCCGACAGTGAAGAGCCTGCTTGGGATTCTTTCTCTCTTTGTCCCTCTCTCTCTCTGCCCTCCACGCCCCACCCCCCCCCCCCCCCCCCCCCCCCCCCCGGCCCCCGCCTGCCACCATGACACTCTCAGTCTCTCTCAACAAACAAACACATAAATAAAGCTTTCTGTTCGCTAGCAGCACCTGGAAGGTGTAGCAGCTTAAATGTGAACACTTTTCAGTTCCCCAATTAAACCTTGAAAATGAGCACCAATGTGAGCACCAAGATTAACTAAGAGAATTCCCCTGCTTTGAACACAGGCCATCACTACATCCCCTGTGAGCACACGGGGTAAGGCCGACCCGGGGGTAATCCCAAGAGGGGAACAAGGGGATATTCCAAAGTGGAAACCTATGTTGATCTGAGTACCCAAAGAGCCTGAGCCTTGAAGGACAATCCAAGATAACACAGTGACAACGAGTGAAAGACACTGAACTCCCTAGCAGCAGACAAGGCATCTTAACAAGTGGAAGGCAGAATAGCACATGGTGCACGTGGCACTCTGACCACCTGGCAATTACCTGGCAGACTCTGCGGGATGTGGGTGGACACGGCAGCGTGTGGGAGAGGCGCTGCCCGGGGTGGGCTGGAGTGCAAGCCAGCCAGGAGACCTGAGAGAAAACAGGAGGGGAGAAAAGAACAAAACACACACATTGAAGACAGGAACAGAAAAGCCACTTCAGTGGAAGAGAGCCCAGACAACCTACTGGACTGGTTCTGAGTCAGAACCCCAAGGGGAGGGGGCTCAGCACAGTTCCCAGGAACGCTGCCCGGGATCACACATCAGACAAACACAGGAACCCAGCATACAACAACAGAACTCATCAATCACAGCACAGCCAGTGGGGACCTTCTGCCCATCCAGCATGAGGAGAGAAGCACTTACTATGGTTGAGGCCATGGTGGAACGTCCCAGGGGCAGGACCCGTGACGATAGCATCCTTGGAAACCCCTGCTTTGGCAGAGGACTCGGCGCTGAAGGAAACCACATGGAGGGGAAACTGGGAGATGATCCCGAGGGAGTTGGAATTCATGGCTCCAGGCAGCTTCGGGCCACCGGACTTGTAGGACGCAGACAGCAGATTTAAGGGCGAGGAGCTGGCCAGCAGCACAGCCCCACTCGTTCCTTTCTGGGGAGAAAACACAGCACGGTCAGAGCACCAGCCTTGTCCACAGCTCACTCACAAACCAAAGCTGGAAACGGATGTGCAGGGCAGGAACCCACTTGTAGACCGCCCCTTGTGAAGGCGGCCCCTACTCTGCTGCCCTCAAAGGAAGGAAGAGGACAGTCTCTGAACTGGCATGGAGTGCAGCGCCTGGGTGGCTCAGTTGGTTAAGTGTCTGACTTAAGCTCAGGTCATGATCTCACTTTGTAGGTTTGAGCCCCATGTCAGGCTCTGTGCTGGCAGCTCAGAGCCTGGAGCCTGCTTCGGATTCTGTGTCTCCCTCCTCTCTACCCCTCCCCCGCTTGCACTCGGTCTCTCTCTCAAAAATAAATTAAAAAATAAAAAAGCCAGGTATTAAATATGCCTCCTTTATGCAAGAAATGAAGACCACCTTATGCAGACATCCACAGCTGTGGGCATATAGAAACACCAGTGTGTTCCTATTTATATACACTAAACATAACACACACACACACGCGCGTGAGCGCGTTTTGAACTTGGTCTTTAGAAAGAAATCAGGAAAGATACACCTGGGTGGCTCAGTTGGTTAAGCATCCGACTTCGGCTCAGGTCACAATCTCACCATTTGTGGGTTCAAGCCCCGCGTCAGGCTCTGTGCTGACAGCTAGCTAGGAGCCTGGAGCCTGTTTCAGATTCTGTGTGTGTCTCTCTCTCTGACCCTCCCCTGTTCACACTGTCTCTTTCTCTCTCAGAAATAAATAAATAAACATTTTTAAAAATATTAAAAAGAAAGAAAGAAATCAGGAAACCAAGGAACACAGCCACCTTGCGGGGGTTGGAACAGGCTAGACGTAGGTGAGACCTTGCTGAACATACCTTTATATAGTTTTGTCTTTGTAACCGCAGAGTCATTTTATGTATTAGAAACGTGAAACAATTGCTCTCTCTCATTTCCCCAGCCTATATCCAAACTTCTCATAATTACCTATCAGCAAGCCTCATCGGCCATTGGACTCTGTCAAATTGCCTTGGTCTGATCTGCAGTGTCCTTTAAAATTCAACTAAAAGAGGGGCGCCTGGGTGGCTTAGTCGGTTAAGCGTCCGACTTTCGCTTAGGTCATGATCTCGCGGTTCGTGGGTTCGAGCCCCGCGTCGGACTCTGCTGACTGCCAGCCCAGAGCCTGGAGCCTGTTTCAGAGTTTGTGACTCCCTCTCTCTCTGACCTTCCCTGCTCACTCTGTCTCTCTCTCTCTCTCCTAGAAATAAATAAAAACATTAAAAATTAAAAAAAAAAATAAAAATAAAAAAAATAAAATTCAACTAAAAGAGAATCACTCTTACAAGTTACTGATTTCCTGGGGCATCTGAACATCTCCACAGAACTCATGATCTGAGAGATGATACCATACTCACTTACTTGTTTTGAGAGATGGACAAATAGGTGGCGATGAAATATGAAAGGACTTTTGTGGCTCATTCTATGCCACCCAGGATCACAGCATCTCTGCAAACTAGTCCTTTCCCTCTGCTCATCCTCAGAGCCTGGGATTCCTACCACTAGCAAAGCAAAGACCTGAAAACAGGAAGCCCCGTCCTCCTCCTGATTTCCGGGCTCACTGTTCCTACCTGACCTTCAGTAATCAGACCTCACTCTCTGACCAGGGCAAGGCAAGCGGCCCTGTCCCCCAGACTCACAAGGGGCAGGCTGCTGTGCCAGGACACTCACTGGCAAGGAGGTAGACGATGTCATGCTGCTAACTGCGCTGGACTTCAGGGAGGAGGTCAGTAGCTTTGCCACTCCCTGGGTCCCACCACTGGAGTCTCCATTTGGACCACCCGGAGGGGCCACCAGGGTCAGCTTCTGGGAAACGGGTGGTTTTTTCACTGCAGAGCCTGGGACGGGTCTGCTGGCAGACTGTCCTGCGGAGGGAGGCTGTACACCGGGGAGCAGGTTCCCGGAAGTGGAGCTCTGGACTGGTGTTCCTCCAGAGGAAGAGCTGCCAGAAGAAACCCCATGTTTAGAGACAGAGCTGGCAAAGGGACTATTCTTGTAAGACGGCCCTGAAGAGCTGACTGAGTGCTGTTTTGCTGGATGGCTCAGGGCAGTGGAGGACGAGGCTGGCGTCTTATGAGAGTTGCTGCTGGAGGCCGGTGTGCCTCCTGAAGAGGCTGGCGTGGAGGGATGGAAGCTCTGGCCTTTGGTTGCTGTCTTCACAAGCTGGAGGAGGGAACGATGGCACTGTGGGGAGGAAGGCTTGGGGCCCTGGAGCTTATTGACAAAAGGAGAAGGGGGGGTGAAGCTCTTCTGCTGTTGAGCACCCGCATGAAACACTTTCACGTGGGGGCCGGGCACAGGAGCCGCCGCCTGGGGTGTGTGAGACGTCCGTGGCAAGCCGTGGTGCTTTGCTTTGGACGGGTGCACTTCCTGCAGGCCCTTGCTGAGCGCAGTCTGACAGGACAGCTCTTTGTAGCCAGAACTCTCTGGTTTTTTCTCCTGAGAGGACTGCCCCAGTGCCAAAGCCTGTTCAGCCAGAAAATTGAGGGGAGACTGCAGAGAACTAGAAGGCGGTGGGGCGGAAGGGTTGGACTTTGGGAAGTTCCTCTTCTCGTCTGCACATGCGGTCCCTGCGATCTTCTCTGAAGGTGCTTTCGGGGGCACAGGCAGTGTGAACTCAGAGCTCCCACTTGCTCTGCTGTTCAGCACAGCCAGTTCCTTAGACACAGTCTCCAATGAGGAGGCTGAATTATGGATCAAGTCTCCGTCCAACGAGTCCTCCAGGTTGATAGGAGCAGGATTAGCAAGGCTGCCAGACGCCTGGGATGAGAGCTCCCTGTTTGTGGCCCCAATGCTCAGGCCTCCTCCTGCGTGTTCTGAAGGCAAAGCCAGGGGGCCGCCAATCTGGCCGGATGAGACGGAAACCTTTTTATCAGGCTTAGAAGATGATTCCTAAAGGAAAGTAGAAATTCCGATGGTTAGAAACGTTGAAGATGCCAACACTGGCCCTGTGGTAAGGATGCAAATGTGAGAGCACCACAGGGCCCAAAAAACCCTGGCCTTCCTGCACGGTCACAAAACAAGGGAGGAGGAGAGTAGCTGCCATGCCTGCTTGACCTTGAAAATGCTGCTACCTCTTCACCCTCGCTGGCTCATGTCTGGCTGGCTGGGACTGGCTTACCAAGCATGCCTACTTGCTAAGTACACATCCACCCACAAAGTAACTCTCTTCTGTTTCTGAAAAAGTCTAAGACTCAAGCAAGAGATGCTCTACCTGTCAGCCTCACCTTGTCTCAGAGTGCTCCCAGCTGCAATCAGAAAACAATGCACAGGGGCACCTGGGTGGCTCAGTGGTTAAGCATCCGACTTTGGCTCAGGTCATGATCTCACTGTTCGTGGGTTTGAGCCCTGCGTCGGGCTCTGTGCTGACAGCTCAGAGCCTGGAGCCTGTTTCAGATTCTGTGTCTCCCTCTCTCTCTGACCCTCCCCTGCTCATGCTGTCTCTCTCTCTCTCTCTCTCTCTCTCTCTCAGAAATAAAACATTAAAAAAAATTTTAAAAAGAAAATAATGCGTGGCGTGAGAACTGCTTGAAATTAGCTATCTTTTCCTCCCTGGTCTTTTTTTTTTTATATATTTTTTTATTTATTTCTAGGAGAGAGAGAGAGACAGCATGAGCAGGGGAGGGTCAGAGAGAGAGGGAGTCACAGACTGAAACAGGCTCCAGGCTCCGAGCTGGCAGTCAGCACACAGCCCGACGCGGGGCTCGAACCCACGAACCGCGAGATCATGACCTAAGCGAAAGTCGGACGCTCAACCGACCAAGCCACCCAGGCGCCCCCCTTCCTGGTCTTTCTAGCATCTATCTCTCATGGGTGCAAAGGAAAAGTCCTGTCATGGGAGCAGGAATAGGGTCTAGTCGTCACTGCCACATCCTGAGTGCTCAGTGCCATGTGTCTCAGATACTGTAGGAGCTCAGCAGATACTTAGGAGGTCAGAATTTGCACAGCTTACTCCCATGGACTAGTGTGGTTAACGGCACTATAAAGCCTCAGGAACTGGTAAAATAGCAATTTTTTTACACTGAGAGATTTCTGCAAAGCGGGAGATGGTTCTCAGTCTCTGCTCTCTTCCCACTGGACTTTCCTCCATCTCTGCCAGGCAGATGCCTCGAAGCCAGCTGTCCTCCAGGCTCACCACCTGACTGGCAGTGTTCTTCCATGAAAAAACGACCACCACACTGTAAGCATCCGCAGGGGGCCCTCACTCCTCAGAGGGCTGTCGAGAGACCTCACGTAAATCTCACCACCACCACCACCGGAACTGGCCAGGTGGGTACCATCTCCTAGAACTAAGGCAGGAAGATACTACCTGGCCCAGCTCAGGTCTCTGCCCTGCCAACCTCAGACACCTGTGGTGGGCCAGGATGCCTCTTGGTATAACCTCAAGAATGCCATCCTGAAGAGCTGACCCCAGTGCAGCAGAGCTCAGGAGTTGCTATGGTCACCTGAGAGGTTTCACGCACATGGCTAGAGGATGGAGAATGGCACATGACCAGAGCAGGATGACTCACCTTCATCTTGATTTTGGAAGAGGCCATTACTTTCTTCTTGGCCCTGGTTAAAGGAATGAACACAGAAAAGGTTTAAAGAAAACTCACAAAGAAGAAGAAGATAATAGTAGTCCTTAGAAGAGAAAACACAGAGACTCACAGGATTGATGTCAGGTGCCCATGGCCTCGTCTGCTCTCCTTAAACAGAGTCCTGAAACAGAGAATACTGGATGGTCTGCGCAAGCTCCCTGAAAGCAGGCACTCTGCTTCTAGAGCTTTCCTACCACCCCTGGTACTCAGTGGCTATTATACCTTAAATGTAAGAGGACCGTTGAGCTTGATTCCTAGTCAGAGAATCTAAAGTAGCTGCACTGGCTGCTCGAAAGCGAAGAGTCCAGGAGTGAATCAAAAAAGCTATGGCTCTGCCCCAAAATTTCTCATAGGATTTTTCTCCTGAAGACAGCAGTGCTTTCCTTATTGCTGACTCTTACTCCTTCCAAAGGTCAAATGCAGAGTGATCCACAGCATGTCTTTTTCCAGGGAAACACAACAAAATTTTCTTTATGACCCTCCCTATGTACCTGCAGGCACACAGAGCCTGCTTAAGATCCTTTGTCTCCCTCTCTCTGCCCCTCCCCTCCTTGTGCACACGTTCTCTCAAAAATAAATAAACTTAAAAAATAAAAAAAGAAAGAAAGAAATTCACTCTCTAAAGAGAGAAGAGCAATCCCAGCTAAAGCAGGGACAGAGACAAGGAGGCTCGATGATCTGGACTCCAGGAGGGTGACGGAGTAGGAGGCACCAGGAACTATCCACTCACCTGGACAAGTGCACAATACAATCTGTCTGAAGTGACTATTTGGGAACCCTAGAGTGTGCGGAAGGCTTTCCACAGGGGAGGGCCTAGAGGTAAACTGCTGTCAATTTCAGCTCTTAGCACAAGTGCAGCCTCCCGTCCGCAGCCCCGCGGCAGGGAGGCACACACACATTCCTAGAGCACTTGCACACAGCTTGCAGGAACTAGAGCAAGCAATAAGGACCCTGTCCTCCAACTATCAGGGAACCTCTGCTCTGATCACTAATGGCTGCTTTTCATCACAGAAGTGCAAAGAGGTGGGGAGCCACTGCTGTCCCCTTCCACCACCCACTATTGCCCCCCCCCCCAGCTAAGGTCACTTCCAGGGGACTTGAAAAACCGGTGCCCTTTGTCCCCGCTTCATTTGTACACTTTCCCACTTTCAGGAGTCAAACATTAAAAACCAGAACATTCAAAACAACTGCATATATGGGGGGGAAATGAGAAAGTGACCACACAAGTCCGAGGAAGGGCTTGGCCGAGACCTAGGAAGGCCGTTCACACCGCAGGCTGCTTGAGCTGCATCACAACATTCACAAAAACAAAACCAATCAGCTGAACAGTGACCATAGTTAACAGTACTGAATTGTAAATCTGAAAGTTGCCCAGAGAATCAATCTTGTAAGAGTTCTTGCCAAAGAAAAGAAAAACTGTGACTATGTGAGGTGATGGATGTTCCCTAGAAAGAAAAAAAGGAGGTGTGAACAAAATGGAAATAAATAAAGAGATGGAAAACCTAAAAAGAAATCAAAGAGAGATTGTGGAGCTTTAAAGTATAATAACTGAAACGAAAAATTCTCTGGAAATGTTCAAACACATGTGAGCGGACAAAAGAAAGAGTTCACAAACTTGGAGAGAGGATAATGGAAATCACCAAGTCTGAGGAACAGAGAGAACAAAGACTGAAGAAAAGTGAACAGGGCGTAGAAGATGTGGTAGGACACCATCACTTGGAGCAGCACGCACACCACACACTGTACAAGTCCCGGAAGGAGAAGAGAGAGAGAAATAGGCAGAGAGAATAGTGGACGAAATACCAGCTAAAACCCCCCTAAATCTGGTGAAATAGATGAACATAAAAACCCAAGAAGCTCAAAGAACTCCAAGATGAACCCCACACAAAGAAGCAGTATGATCAAACTCCTTTTTTAAAGTTTTTATTTATTTTGAAAGAGACAGAGACAGAGCACGTGCATGAGCAGGAGAGGGGCAGAGAGAGAGGGAAAGAGAGAATCCCAAGCAGGGTCCATGATGTCAATGCAGAGCCCTATGTGGGGCTTGATCTCCCAAATCATGAGATCATGACCTGAGCCAAAATCAAGAGTGGACACTTGAACGACTGCGCCACCGAGGTGCCCCTATAATCGAATTTTAAAACACAGAGACAGAATCTTGAAAGCCCAAAGAAACAAGTAAATTATCATTTAAATTATCAACAGAATTCTCATCATAAACTTGGGAGGTCAGAAGAGAATGAGTTAATATATTCAAAGTGTTAAAAGAAAAGGTCAAACAATCCAAATCCAGCAAAACCATCCTTCCAAAGTGGGGGAAATATTAAGATGCTCGCAGATGGGGTGCCTGGGTGGGTCAGCTGATTAAGTGTCTGCCTCCTGATTTCAGCTCAGGTCATGATCTCATGGTTGGGGACTGAGCCCTGAGTCAGGCTCCATGGAGCCTGCTGGAGATTCTCTCTCTCCCTCTCTCTCTGACCCCCTCCCCACCCCTGCTTATGCTAGCTCTCTCTCGCTCTCAAAATACTTAAAAAATATACATACATATATATATATATATATGTATGTATAGTTTTTTATACTCACAAATGGACAAGAGCTGAAGAAAATCATGAGCACTATACTACCCTGAAGGAAATGCTCAAGGGCTTCCCATGAGGAGGTCAAATAAAAGGACACAAGACAGTACTTCAAAGCCATGTGAAGAAATAAGGATCTCAGAAACGTAAATACAAGGGCAATCATATCAACTAGTATCCTCATAAAAATGGTTTGTAGCTGTGCTTTTTATTTTCTAAAATTTTTAAATGTTTTTTATTTATTTATGAGAACAAGAGAGAGACAGCATGAGCAGGCGAGGGTCAGAGAGAGAGGGAGATAAGGAATCTGAAGTAGGCTCCAGGCTCTGAGCTGGCTGCCCGCACAGAGCCTGACAGGAGCTCGAACCCACGAACCGTGAGATCATGACCTGAGCTGAAGTCGGCGCTTAACCAACTGAGCCACTCAGGCACCCCTGTGCTTTTTATTTTCTACGTGAGTTAAGAGACTAAAACTTTTAAAGAAAAAAAAAAAAAAAAAAGCAATTAATACTATAAAAGCATTACTATCACTTTGGTTTCTAACTCCAAATCTTGTTTTCTGCCTAATTTAAGACACTAATGCATTTCTAAGAATTATTAGCTTATGTTTTGGAGCACATAATGTATAAAAATGTAATTTTGTGACATCAACCACCAAAAGAGGTGGGGACAGAACTGTAGGGGAGCAGAGATTTTACAGGTTACTGAATTAAAGAAGCCCTTCCTTATCACTAATTACTTTAAGTATGAATGGATCAAACTTTCCAATCACAACACTGAGATTGGTAGAATGGATAAACAACTCAATGCGGTCTACAAGAAACTCACTTAAGATCTAAATGCAAAAACAAGTTGAAAGGTTAAAGGGTGGAAGAATATATTCCACACCAAGAGTAACCGCAGAGGACAAAGAGGGCTATGCTGACATCAGACAAAAGAGAAATCAAGAAATATTGAAGATATAATCATCAACATTCCTGCAACTGAGGCAAAAATTGACAGAACTGGAGGGAGAAATAGACAATTTTACAATAATAGTTGGAGACTTCAGTACTCCACTCACAATAATGGATCGAACAACCAGAAAGAAGACAAATAATACAAGACTTAACACATAAACCAGTGAGATCTAACAGATATACACTCTACCCAACAACAGAATACATAGACTTCTCACGTGTACACAACAAATTTCCCAGGATAGAGGCCACAAATTAAGTCTCAAGAGATTTAAAAAGATAGACAATATACAGAGTATCTTCTCTGACCACAAGAGGATATAGTTACAAACCAGTAACAGAAGGAAAACTGACAAATTCACAAATTTGTAGAAATAAGAAAACAAACTTTGATCAATGGATCAAAGAAAAAAAATCACAAAGGAAATTAGAAAATACTTGAAAGATGAATGAAAAGGAAAATACAATATACTGAAAATTACAGACACACCAAAAAGAACGCTAAGAGGGTACTTATAGCTATAAACATTTAAAAACAAGAAAAATCTCAAATCAACAACCTAACTTTACAACTTAAGGAACTAGTAAAAGAACAAATTAAACCTAAAGCAAGTGGAAGGAAACACTGAAAATCAGAGCATAAATAAATAAAACAATATATAGAGAGAAAAATCAGATCAACACAATTGACAAATCTTTAGCTAGATGGGCTAAGAAATGTTCAAGAGAGGAGACTCAAATTACCAAAATCAGGAACAAAAGTGGAGACATTACTACTGATTCTACAAATAAAAAGGATTGTTAAGTGAGTACTATGAATAACTGCATACCAACAAACTGGATTACCTCGTTGAAATGAACAAATTCCCAGAAACACAAAACTTACCAACACTAAATCCCAAAGAAATAAAAATTCTGACTAGAGGTTTAACTAGCAAGGGGACTGAGTCTGTGATCAAAAATCTCCCAACAAAGCAAAGGTCCGGACCTGATGGCTTCATGGGTGGATTCTACCAAGTATTTTAAGTACTACCAATTCTTCTCAAACTTTTCCAAAAACTGAAGAGGGAATACTTACAAATTCATTCTATAAAGCCAGTGTTACCCTGATATTAAAGCCAGGCAAAGACACTCCAAGAAAACTACAGACCAATATCCTATATTAACACCAATATAAAACTCCTCAACAAAATACTGGTAAACAGAATTTAGGAGGTTAAAAAGATTATACATCATGTCCAAATGAGATTTATGCCTGGAATGCAAGAGTGGTTCCATGTACATAAAGTGATCAATGTAATACACCACATCAATAGAATGAAGGAATAAAACCCCACATGATCACCTCAATTGATGCAGAAAAGACAAAGGACAAAATTCAACATCGATGAATGATAAAACAGCACTTAACAAGCTACGAATAGAAGAAAACTACCTCCACATAATAAAAGCCATGTATGAACACCCTCTCGCCCCCGCAAACACCATACTCAGCGGTGAAAGCCTGAAAGCATTTCCTCTAAGATCATAAACAAGGTAAGAACGCTTGCTTTCACCACTTCCATTCAACATAGTACTAGAAGTTCTAGCCAGAGCAGTTAGGCAAGAAAGAGAAACAAAAGGCATCCAAATTGGAAAAGAAGTAAGCTGATCTCTGTATACAGATGATATGATCTTTTATGTAGAGAACTCTACAGATCCCAAAAATTTTTCAGAATAAATTCTGCAAAGTGGCAGAATCAACACAGGAGAAAAACAGCTGCATTTCTGTACACAAAAAGTGAACAATCTAAAAAAGAAATTATGAAAATAATTCCATTCACAAACAATCAAAAAACAAAACAAAAACCAGAAATTAACCTCACCAACGATGTGAGACTTGCACAATGAAAATGACAAAACGTTGCTAAAAGAAATTAAAGAAAGAAATGGAAACACACCTCACCATGGATTGGACTTAATATTACTAAAATATCAATACTACACAAAGCAATCTACAGATTCAATGCAATCCCAAGCAAAATCCTAATGACTGTTCTTTGCAGAAATAGAAAAACCCATTCTAAAAATCACAGCGAATTTCAAAGGATCCTGCATAGCCAAAATAACCTTGAAAAAGAATAAAGCTGGAGAATCACACTTCTTGATTTACTTCAAAGCTACAGTAATCCAAACAGTGTGTCACTGGCATAAAAGCAGACACATGAACCAACAGAAGAGAACAGAGAGCCGAGAAATAAGCCCTCATATACATGGTCAAATGATTTTCGACAAAGGTGCAAAGACTGATGAGGGAAGCACAACCTTTTCAACAGACAGGGTGCTGGGAAAACTGGACATCCACATGCAAAAAAATGTATATGGGTCCTTACCACCATTTACAAAAATTAACTCAGCTTCATGACACTGAATCTGACTATGATATGTAAGACACAAGCAACAAAAAGTAGACAAGTTGGACTTCTTTAAATTTAAATTTCTGCATATCAAGGGGCACCTAGGTGGTTCTCTCTCTCCCCCCCCCCGCCCCCCGCTCTTCTCCCAAACTCATGCTCTCTCAAAATAAACAAACATTTAAAAAAATGTTTTGTGTGCATCAAAAGATACTACCACAGAGTAAAATGGCAACTCACAAAATATTTGGAAATCACATCTGTCAAGGGATTAATATTCAGAATACAAAAAGAACTCCTAAAACAATAAAAGAAATAACCCCATTAAAAAATGGGCAAAGAACTTAAGACATTTCTCCAAAAAAGATATATACATAGTCCAATACATTAAGTGATGCTCAACATCATGAAATCACCAGGAAAATCCAAATCAAGTATGTAGGGAGAAAACCACATCACATCCATTGTCTACTATTAAGAACCCAGAAAACATCAAGTATTGGTAAGGATGTAGACAAATTGGAACCCCTGTGAACTGTTAGTAGAAATACAAAACGATAAAACCACTATGGAAAACAATGACAGTTCCTCAAAAATTAGACATACAGGGCACCTGGGTGGCTCAGTCAGTTAAGAGTCCAACTCTTGGTTTCAGCTCAGGTCATGATCTCGTAGTTTACCCCTATGTAGGGCTCTGCACTGGCATCTCAAAGCCTGCTTGGGACTTGCTCTCCTTCCTTCCCTCTCTGCCCCTTCCCTGCTTTCACTCTCTCTCAAATAAATTAACATTAATGACAATGTTAAACATACAATTACCATGTGATCCAGCAATTCCACTTCTCGGTATATACACAGAAGAACTGAAAGCAGGGTGTTGAAGGGATATTTGTACACTCTAGTTCATAACAGCATTGCTCACAATAGCTAAAACATGGAAGCAACCTACGTCTCAACGGACGAGTGAGTAAAATGTGGTCTGTACATACAACGGAATTTTATTCTGTCTTAAAAAGGAAAGAAATTCTTTTTTTTTTTTTTTATTTTTTTAATTTTTTAATTTATTTCTAGGAGAGAGAGAGACAGCGTGAGCAGGGGAGGGTCAGAGAGAGAGGGAGTCACAGACTGAAACAGGCTCCAGGCTCTGAGCTGGCAGTCAGCACAGAGCCCGACGCGGGGCTTGAACCCACGAACCGCGAGATCATGACCTAAGCGAAAGTCGGACGCTCAACCGACTAAGCCACCGAGGCGCCCCAAAAAGGAAAGAAATTCTATAATGTGTAACACAAACAAATCCTTGGAAATATTATACTAAGTGAAATAAGACAGTTACAAAAAGACAAATTTTGAATGATTCCACTTAGATGAAATACTCAGAGTAGTCAAAATCATAGACAAAGTAGAATGATGGTCACAGAATCAGAGGGCATGGGGGAAATGTGGAATTATTTATTGTTCAATCAGAGTTTTCCGTATTAGAAGATGACAAGATTTATGGAGACGGACAGTGATGGTTGCAAAAACAATGTGAACGTATTTAAAACCACTGCACTGTGCACCTAAAAATGGTTAACAGGGTGAATTTTATGTAAAGTGTATTTTCCCACATAAAAAAAAAAGAGCACAGAGCACTAGCTCCAGCTAACTTTCTTGTTCATACTGCAGAGTCCATTTTCATGGAAAGCTACATAACACAGAAGGTCAGCACGTAACTCCAATAAACAGCCAGCCCTGCTCCTCGCAAATGAGACATCTGTTCAGAAAGGGGACATGTTTCCAAGATGAATCTACTTCTCAACTTCTTCCAAGAGCCATTATCTCAAAACACGTAAGAGCACAGTGACGCGGGAAGAACATGCAGCCAATTCCAAACTGAAATGTGACAAAGAATGCAAAATCCCACAGGTAACTTCCCTCTTCAAAGGGAGAGTAAGAGCCATTCACAGCAACCATTATGGCCCCCAACTCCTCGAGTGCGATCAGAGCTGACCTGGCTAGACAGCGACTTCCTGAGGGAAGGGACCCTGTTGGTTCGTGCAAAAGAAGCACTCAAATATGTCTTTAAGGCAAGAACACTCAACCTCATCACCACACTGACCACACTGGCTGCTCATGGCCCTCACCTGGCCTGCATCCAGCCTTTTGGCCACAGAGGTTTGACCTCAGCATCCAGAAAGGCCTTCACATAGTCCTCCCAAGACTGGCTCTTGTTATTCCTCTCCAGATCGTAGCTCTCCAGTTTTATCTTCACCACGTGGCAGAGAAGCTCCCTGAGGAGTAAGCAGAAGTCAGAAACTTCAAACTACCCCAAATCCTTCTTTCAAGGTTTCAATTATGTGCTTTCAGCAGCCCTGATTAAAGTAAATGATTCTAACCTTCATTAGAAACACGGGAACATGCTCAGACACTGGCCCCACAAACCCTCCAATGAGGCAAGGTCCCAGTTTGGGCACACCTGATTTCATCATTCCACTGGAATTTCTTCCGGGGTCCCATTATCCTCCTGCCCCCCTTTTCTTCATCTTCTTCCTCATCAGAGCAAATCCGCTCCCTCTGCTCCTTGTCTTTCTCCTCTTCCAGCATCCTATAGTGTGAACAGAATCAACGGGACCCTACAGGTCACAGTTACAAAAAACAATTTCCTCCCACTCACCACCTCCCCACTGGCCCATCCCCACCCCGGGCTTCTAAGAAAAGGTGCAAATGCTACACAAGAGCCAAGAGTTTCATTCACAAATGTAATAATGAAAACAAAACAGAAAAAAAAAAAAAACCCACACACACACACACAAAAAAGAAAGAGAAAAGTCAGGAGGATGATGTCCCATAAGAGCCAAGGGACACACTTACTTGGCGACCTTGGCTTGTGTGTGTGCCTGGCACTCATCCTGGTACTTGGCCATCTGCTCTGGCATTGCCCTTCCAATGGCCTCCTTAAGCTTCTGGAGAGGCTCCTTCAGACGCCCCCCCTGCAGAAAGCAGGACATGGTGTAAGACTGGTTTTTGCATCCTATACCGAGGACATGCTACTGGAAAAACTGCCCGAGGCTGGTACAAGAGCAGAGGTGGCACCTGTGAAGACTCAGTCACCCACTCTGCCGAGCCCTAAAGCCAAGAGACTCCACTCCAAAGTCACCCACCTGTTCATAGAGGTGAAGTTTCCGAGCACGTTTAACCAGTGTGTCTTTGCTGCAGGGCAGGAATGAAGCAAGATAGGCATATACCCCAGAACGGATTTGGCTACTCAGCTCCCGAGTTTGCACCTCTATGCTGAAGAACAGAACAGAGTCATCAAGGGTCCGCAGCTCACTGGAGCTTCTCTCATCATTAAGTCACCCGACCACAGACAGGAAAACTAAGAGCCGAGACTGGGACCAACCTCATGTCATTGGTCACACAATGTAACTGAGTGACTAGGGCAACAGATCTCCAGCAGTCACCACATCAGAACTCCCACACCTGATGAACTCGGTTGGTTAGGTAAAGAGGGTCAAAACCCGCAGGTCAAAAACAAGAACAAGTCAAATGTGTAGTCAGGAAACAGAACCTGAGAGAACAAACTCCGAAGTACTAAGTATCACAAATAACAAGAACATAAGAGCTTTCAAAATGGAAAGTGATTAAGTTACTTGGTGTGGCCAACAGCATTTCCTTTTTTCCCAGTTTTATCCCTGATTAGGAGGTCAGGGAAGTCCTCACCCCTCCCAATGTCCCCATCTAGATCAGCAAAAAAATATTTGTCTTCAATCCATTGAGCTCTCTTTATCTGGCAGGCTCCAGCGGGCTACCATTCACACAAATCTCCTGTGTGTGCTGACTCTCAGGTGCTCTCTACAGTCCAAGCTTCCTGACCCAAGGGGCCAATTCCGATCCTGGTCATTTGCTCTATATTCCCTAATCTCGACAACTGTTCTTACATGTGTAAAATCCTCAGGTGTTGAGCAACAAGCTTCCTCTACTATATAAAGCCACTGAGAGAGAAGCTGGCAAGGCTGGAGGACTTGATATCAAAAACCTGGTTTGGATTTATATGTGTGGTTTTTCTGCTTCTATAATCCAATTCATACAATGCAACATTCTCAGAGATTCAGACATGGGGGAGAAGTGTCATGGGATGATATGTATATACCTTGGCCTTGGGAGTAGAAGTGAGAGCGAGAGGAGAATGACCCCAGGAGAGCAGGCCCCTGAAGCTGCGCCAAGTTATCTCTTACTTTTCTGCATAAGCAAGCGACACTTTTTCTCTCTCATCTCATACTTGCCAAGAAATCCTCTTCCAACTGGCCATGATCATTACATACAGCGTTCTATTAATATCTGCCGCTTAAGACTAGTAAGATCTACCATTTCCTGGAAACAGATATTTGGTGTACCCAACCCCCTTTAAAAAAAAAAAAAAAAAAAAAGAATAGGGGCCCTGGGGTTGGTCAGTCGGGTGAGGGTCTGACTCTTGATTTTGGCTCAGGTCATGATCTCACAGCTCACTGGATCAAGCCCCACATCAAGGCTCTGTGCCAACAATGCTTGGGATTCTTTCTCTCTTTCCCTCTCTCTCTCTGCCCTTTCCTGGCTTGTGCTCTCTTTCTCTCAAAATAAATATAAGTAAACTTAAAAATAAATAAACAAAAGGAAAATAATCACCATTTTTTCCTCTCATAAGCAGTCATCTTTAGGTAGTTCAATCCATGCCCATTTCCCCTGGCCTGCACGACCCAGGCACGGTAACAGCAGACACATGTAAACAAAAGATACTCACTCTAAGAGGGTGCCATTAACATCCTGGGTGAAGAACTTCTGTCTGCTCTCTCCTTCAGCAGCTCTGGCAGCCTGGTTCACAGCAGACAGTAACATCTGTTAGTGCACTTTCCTCACACAACCACACACTCACCCACAGGCACAAGGCCAGTCCTTCCCTAAAGAACACCTGCCGATTAGATAAAATCCTCACTCAGTCCTAGATTAAGTTCACCTATGATCACCCTATGCTCCCAAATTGGTATATCTAGCTTTTTTCAAGTGCTGCTGAAGCATCTATGGACTGTCCGTTGTTCCAAGCAGTTGGAACAACACCATCACATAAAAGTCAGTCATACAGAGTCAAAGCAAACATGATGCTTTTGATTCAAGGAGCTAGTTACCTCCTGTGACCAGCACCCTGCCACCTCAACTGTGAGTTGGAATTTCCACACTTCAACAGTACAAAAACAATCAAGAACTCGAACAAACCTGCAAGATGAGAAAACCTTTATCTATTACCCTTAAATAGTAACAAGGTGCTACTTTAGCACTTAAGGACATTGTGATTCTTGGGAAATTCACAATCCGCTTACAATTTATTACAAATTCTATCACCCAGACCATCTTAACCACTAACACACCTTCCTACCTATTGCCACAAGGCATAGCAGGCCTTTTGCTTCCCACCAGAACACAGCCAGTACCCTGCATGGCAGCCACAGCAGGCAGCCAGGGCACTAAGTGCAGAAGTCAGGAAAGCAATCTTGGCAAAAATCTGAACCATTGGTTCTCACCTTTGGCTACATATTGGAATTACCTGGTGGCTTTCCCCACCCTAGACCAATCGCATCAGGATCTCTGGGGATGAGGGCAAGAAATCCACATTCTTTAAAAGTAACCCTGGTAATGGGGCGCCTGGGTGGCTTAGTCGGTTAAGTGCCCGACTTTCGCTTAGGTCATGATCTCGCGGTTCGTGGGTTTGAGCCCCGTGTCGGGCTCTGTGCTGACTGCCAGCTCAGAGCCTGGAGCCTCTTTCAGTCTGTGACTCCCTCTCTCTCTGACCCTCCCCTGCTCACACTGTCTCTCTCTCTCTCCTAGAAATAAATAAAACATAAAAAAATAATAACAATAAAAAAAAGTAACCCTGGTAACTTTAATGTGCACAGGGGATTGAAAACAGTTGACCTAAACCCAAGAGTTGCTGGTCCTAAGGCTTGAGGCAAAATAAAATATCTAAAATCAGACTTGATCTACAATAATGATGGGAAACAAAGGCAGTTAAGATTCTTGTCTTAAAACGAATGATCAATCCCTTTGAGACTACAGGCACTGAGAACCACCCTCCACCTTCCTGTCCCCTCACATGCATTCCCTCATTATAGCCTCTGAGGCCTATTCCTACCTGACAGCTCCCTCTGTGTCATTAGCTCCTAAACATTAATAGACAGAGCCAAGATTCTATCTAAAACTACCTTCTCCCAATACCTTCTACGCCTTCACAGCTTCAAAATAACATATAACGTGTGTCAATCTCTCAAATCTAAACCTCTACCCTAGGGGCACCTGGATGGCTCAGTCAGTTAAGAATCCGACTTTGGCTCAAGTCGTGATCTCACGGTTCATGGGTTCAAGCCCCACGTCGGGCTCTGTGCTGACAGCTAGCCCAGAGCCTGGAGCCCGTCTTCAGATTCTGTGTCTCCCTCTCTCTCTGACCCTCCTCTGCTCGCTCTCTCTCTCTCTCTCTCTCTCTCAGAAATAAGTAAAACATTAAAAAAATAAAAGAATTTAAACCTCTACCCTAAACTCTTTTTTCTAAGCTCTGGATTAGAATTTCCAATTACCTCTCTAAATGGATGATCCCCTGGTATGGACACACAGCTTACCCAAAACCAAACCCACCAGTTTCTGCTCCTACTGTGTTCCCCACTTCTAATAACTACGCTCCATCCTCCTGAAATCCTTCTACTCCCTTCTTTAAAACCCTTAGGTAGCTCTCTGCAAGCCCAGAATCAAACCCAAACTCCTTTATGTGAAATTTATGACTCCCATTCCCCACCACATTCCAGGGGGTCCCCACCATCCAACAACTCGACTCCTCGTCCAACGTCAGCTCTATGCCCTGGCTTCCTCGAAGGCCATCTCTCCACTGAGCCTGGCCAAACCTGTTGCCTCCAGTCTGATTCCTATGTACCTAAGGAGGTTCTTTCTTATCTCCTTAAGTCTGGCTGTCCACCTGACCATCTGCTTGGCCACACAAATATCACAGAGCTTACCTCATTCTGCTCTGTCCTACAGACAGCTGCTTACATGTCTACTGGTCCACTTACAGAACAAGCTTGTGGAAAACAAGAACTGAATCTTACTTGTCAATATATTTCACACAGCTGCCTGTTACATAATAGAGCTTAGTAAATGTCGCCTAAGTGAATGGATGAAGGAACAAACAAGTATTACTGAAAGAATGCAACCAGAGGAAGAAAGTTTGGTACCGACAAACAGAACCTGTAGAGGATATGCAAAACTCAAGCTTCTGCAAACCCTTGGAGGGAGAGAAGTGCAAAGGTCCTCCAGGATTAAAGAGGGTAAAATGGATGGATGGAAATGAAAGAAAGGGTGCAACTTTTAATCCATTCACCTGCCTATTTCTTACATTTTCAGAAGTATTCAGAATTCTTGGCACTTCCGAAATACTGAGAATATGATTTTAGTTTGAGAGAAAATAAAACTGAGTCATTCTTTTGTTTAAGCTTACATACTGCTACTTCTAAGATGCAGAAGCACTTTCATACTAATTCAACCTAATCACGATAACCTGTGTTTCAAATGCCCCACTGTTTGTCAGACCTATCAACCACTTAGGTTTTCCACTTAAATTTTATTTTAGATAGCAGCCAATTTTCCAGTATGTCTGAGGCTTTCTGGCTATATACTTTTCAAGATCTTTTTCCAATGCCTTTTGAATTATGTAGACAGTATCTCTGAGGGTCTGGTTTTATACTGAAGATAATTAGTCAAGTGCTGTATTTTTTTAAAAATCCAATTAAAAGAACAATTGGATTTATATCTGATTGTCTTCCAGAAATAAGGGAGATTCCTCAACCCTAAGAAGAGATACGCTTGCTTAAGGACTTGTATCAATTGATCAATCCTAGATTAACTAAGAAATGAAGGTAAACAAAACAGCTCAGTCATGCTGATTTATAATAGTTCCAAAAGCGCTTTAATGAGCTATTTTAATTCTAAGAAAGTCACTTGCAGCCTCTTAACACCTAGATCAGAGCCTTATATACTGTACCTGTATTTTCTGGCATGATTTTCTTTTTAAAAAACATCAAAGAGGTTAGGTTTTTCCTACCCTTTTCTCTTTGGATCCAAGTCTCTCAAGGATTTGTGAGGCAGGGGTTCTAAGACTATAGGAGGGTAAGCTGTGAGCAGGCAGAGTAGAAGGGTGGGTGACATGAGGTCTCTGTTTTCTTTTCTCAGTATTGTTCCCAGTTTAGCTTGGGTCAGTAGACCTGACCATCTGTACGGGCCAGGCTGAGGAGCTGCCAAACTACATCAAGACAGTAACCTGAGGTGGTCAACACACCTGATTTCTCCAACAACCAAGACAAAAGGCACAAGCAAGGCCTATTAAGTGAAGACAGGGTAAGGCCATCAAATCAAATCACTGGATTCTTTGGGGCCATAAAAACGTATAGTACAAAGAAACAGGAAATGACCAACAGGCTAACATAAGACGACAGCAGTGAATACAGTGAACGCTGCTTGGGCATCCGCCAAGACGGCCTCCTTGGGGTACCTCTTTAACAGAGGTAAGTTTTCAAATACAGTTTTTCAAAGTTTCAAGCATCACATCTAGTTAGAAGGTCAATCTCCTCTCTCTCTCTCTCAAAAATAAATAAACTTAAAAAAAAAAAGTTGGGGAGGAGGGACATGGGTGGCTCAGTCGGTTAAGCATCTGACTCTTGATTTCAGCTCAGGTCATGATCTCACGGTTAGCAAGTCTGAGGCCCCGCAGCACAGAGCCTGCTTGGGATTCTGTCTCTCTCTGCCCTTCTTCACTAACGTGTGCACTGGGCACATGCATTCTGTCTCTCCCTCCCTCCCTCTCTCTCTCTCTCTCAAAAATAAACTTAAAAGTCCACTTTTTCCTTCCCAGAGTAAAGATTATTCCCTAAGGGATGGATACATACCAGACTAGGATCTGCTTAAGGGACCATGGTAGGTGACAAACAGGATCCCAGACCTCTTCTCTCCCAGGACATGCATTCTGCCACACGGAGATGGCCTCTAACTTCCCAACCCTCCAACCTGGTTCGTTCTTGTGACTTGCTTTACCATTAGAGTGGGAGAAGTGATGTGAATACATAATTTCTATGGCTAGCTCTCATGGGCCTTGCAGCTTCCACCTTCATTCTCTTGAAATGTCACCACGAAACTGCCATGCTCTGAAGAAACCCAGGATGAAAGACCAGAAGGAGGGAGAGGACGGATGTCCTGGCCACCTCAGCCACTCCAGCCGTCACAGCACCCGGCCAACTTGTCAGCTGAATGTAGCCACAAGAGTGAGCCAGGCAGGACCAGAAGAGGAACCACCCAGAGTCAGGAGAAATGAACTGCTTTTTGAGGCCCTAAATTTCGGGGCAGTTTTTTAATGTAACAGTAGAAACTGATACATGTTTCATCTAAGGCCAAAATTTTAAATGTAAACAATCTTATAAAAATAAAGAAGAGGAAAAAAGAAAATAAGGGGAGTGAAAAATAAAGTCAGAACACATAACACTACTAATGTTACAGTTATGTACATCAAGTTTAATTTAAAATTTAAAAACGCAAAATCCAGTTCAAGATTGAGGACAGGGCTCCTTATTAAGGATCCAAGTATCGTATCCACGAATGGCTTTTGAAACTATATGCAACTTTTGTGTACATAGGCATTTTTTCCCCCTGGGAAGAATAGCTTTCCCAGCAGAGTTTCAGTGAGGTCTGGGTTTAGAGCACTCGGCACACATGTAGGAGTCGCCAAGTGCCCAAGTACGGGGCCCTGGTGAGAACGGAGCACCTGGGGATCATTTGGAATGGCATTAAGTACCTTTCTAAAAATAAGCCTTCTTTTTCATGCAACCATCAAAAGTGATGAGGGCTTTAGAATAATATTTATTAAGTTAAGAAAGCAGGAAACAATTATTCACAACTATAATTACAACTGCATAAAAACATATACACAACGCTAGAAAGGAATATGCAAATTGAAAATAATTTTCAGATTGGCAGAATGATAGGTAATCCCCATTTTCTATCCCATTTCCCAAAGGTTCTTAGCGCTGTTATAGTTGAAGGGCTAGGTGATGACTTAAGTATCAATTTCACATATGAATGCTGATTTTCAGTACGTCGATTTGTCCTGGTCACCACCTCCCCACCAAAACCCAACCATGCCTACCTTATCTATAGGGTCCAGAACCCTGTCTCCTTTGTCCCAAGAGATAACTTGGCAAACACTGAGGAAGGACAGTTTGCTTGGGGTCCATCCAGTGGACTCCAGAAAGTGGGGCTTTCTTGAATCACAACCCAATGCTGTTTCATGTTAAGCCACTTTGTTTCCATGGAATTTATCCATTTTTTCCAAGAAAGCGAAATAATCAAAGTTATAGACCAGAACACTACTATGGTGGGCGTGGGCGCACATCCAAGAATGCTTTTGACTTTCCTCTAAAAACACAACTGGATACTGCCACGTATACCTCACTCAACTTACTTAACAAGACTTTCAGAAGCTACAAAACAATTAGATTACAAACCAGCGGACTGAGAACAACAAAGAGCAATTTTTTTAAACATAAATTCTGAGAGCAAACACAGAACAGTATGCTCAAACATGCCAAACTTGAGATTCAACTACTTCCACCTACACGTCCTATTAAGATATACTCTGAAACCCTGACATGGCACAATTCATTTAAATCATCACATTCAGATAGAATACTGCACACAGGTCAATGAGGAAGAACTAGGGATCTGAGTAAGACATTTGATTTACTTCATCTGTTGTGCTCAAATACTTTTTCGAAACAAGAAAATTGTTTGTACCAGGGGTTAACATTTTACCCTGCCCTAAAACACAAGAGATATTACACAGAACAGTGATTCTGAAATGCTTTGAGAACCACTGGTTTAATACTTAAGCTACAGAATCTAATGCCACTGGAGTTGCATTTAAGTCAGGATGCCCAATGTAAAATGTTTTTTAACTAAAAGTCATCATAACCAATGACCTATGTTTGGTTTATGGTCAGTAATACATAACTAAGTTGACAATTCTTAGCACTCTAGAAATCAATTCCCAATTGCCAATGGCTGCTATAGCCCAAAGACCGTTGCTGTTTTTAATGGGTCATGGACAGTATGAAGGTTCAGCTTCTTCTTGTTCATCACACTTTAGGTATTCCTGTGATTGCTACTTAACACTGATGATGGGCAAGTCCAGGGAGCAACGAAACCCAGTGGCAATGAAGCACATACCCTATGTGTATAACATATACTTGCAAACCTTTAATTTTCAAAGCCTTCAAAAGATTACTAAAATGACAGATCTGTGCCTCAGCTGCCTGCTGCCAACATTAGTGTCAGTCTATTGCAACAAAGAAAAGACATTTGTGAGGAAGGAACGGACAGGCAGGAAATGGAAAAAGAAAATCCCCTAGAAGAAAGCAAAATGTTTTTCAGGAGTAAAAGAACCACAGAAGGCCTAAAAATGAAGCCTGATGGTCAGAGCTTACACGGTTTCCTCACTCAGGAGAAGAAGAGAGGCTGGAAAAGCTTACACCGAAACTGCCAACTCACTAAGGGTTGCTCTGGGCAGTGAGCTTCATGTGGTGCAGAACCAGTGTCAATCTGCCCAAACCGCTTCCAGGAAAGCCCGGCCACTCTGTGTCACCATACCTGAGCCAGCTCCTTAACGCGCTTCTCCAGGGGCGCGGGCAGGCCTTCGGGGAGGGAAGAGGGCTGCCTGAATTCCTGGTCCAGTCCCACCCCAAGGGAATCGCTCTCATCATCCATATCACGGAAAGGGCTTCCTTCTGGAGACTCACTGAGCAGCTGCTCCAAGTCCAAATCAGTCAGTGAGTCCATGGCAGTGGCCGCCTGGAGCAAGTCGTTGTCAGATGTGGAGCCGAAGAGCGAGAGCAAGGGGTCAGAGGTGCCCTCCAATTCCCGCAGGCCCTGAGCTTCCGCCGACGAGACCGCTACGGGCTTGTGGTCTTCGTCCCTCTTTCTCTGAGCATCTTTCTCCTTCTGAAATTTCTTTAACATCTCTTTAACACTCAAAGCCCCAGAATATTTCTTTTTCTTCTTCTCCTTACTGGCATTGAGAGCTGTGAAGCTGCAAGCAAGGAAGAAACGGGTTACGAAGGCTGCAGCACACCTCAACGGGGAAATTCATGAGACAGCCCTGCTCCCAACGCAACTGCCTCCGGGAACCTCAGCCACAGGGCCACCCTGTTACTCCTCCTCCCTCCTCCTGGTATAGGGAGCTCCTTCTTGCTGGGACCAAAGCTTGAGAGTTAATACAGGTTAGCAGAACAATGTCACAGAATGCTAAATATCCGATGTGTTTTTAAAAACCACTGCCAGGCTGAAATAAAAGGTTGCAAAAAAGTGGTGGGGGCAAGAAAAATGTTTAAAGGGAAAAAGCAGGAGCAGCAGAGAAACAGCAGCAACTTGAAGGGCAGCTGGGGTGAGACCGAGTGAGGTGAAGAAAGCAGGACCAGAGAAGACAAGAAAGTGGTGGAGACAGGAGAAGTGGGGCAGAGGAGGGGTGCCCAAGAGAACAAGAAACATCAGCAGTCACACAGTGACAGAAATAGCTACCAACACCGACAGAGGGACAGAGCCAACTCCGATGTCTGACACACAGAGGGGTGAGAACACTGACTGCCCACGGTGGCACTGTGGGACGTGTGAAGGGGACCGGGAGGCCAGGCCCTGCTGCCTCTTCTGAAGCTGTGAGGAGGGGGGCACATCAGCTCCCAGGTGTCCTGCCCTAACAGCTCAGATTTCGTCCTAGCAAAGAATCTGCTGCCTCTCACCCGGCTTTGGAAAACTTGGACTTTTTCGATTTCTTCTCCTTGTCATAAGTGTCATCTTTTTTCTTCTTCTTTATCTTCTCACCACCTTCCTTCAACTTCCGCTTCTGAGAATTAAAGACAAGGCACAGTTACACGGCTCCCTAACTCAGGGAGCAAGTGCACTACACAGCACTGGCCTTGCTCCGCCCGGGGTTCATCCTGAGAGCTGTCTCCCCTTCTTCATGAACAACAGCTTTCAGGCCAGTCCCTGGATCACAGACCTGCAGCAGGTCAACAAGGCATTCCCACTGGCGGGGTCTCCTGGAAGCACCCAGGGCTGAGGCAACAGGCCACTCTGTAGCCTGAACTTTTCTACTTCAAGTAAGCTGTATGCAGGCCCTACGTCGTTTTACACACACGAGCAGTGGTAGGTAGGTTTCAAAATAAACTTATCTTAAGGCTAACTTGTTTCTGTTGGGGTGACAGCCCTGGGAACTGAACGTGTCCACAGAAGAACACAGCAAGGCTGGTGCAAACTCCCCTCACTCCGCACCCTTCATGGCCCTAGTCTCTGTCCTGAAACCACTTTGAGAAATAAATCCCTACCAAGCCTGCTGGGACACAAGCACAGACAGCTCCACGTCCACAGCACCTCGCCACACTCCGGGTGTGAGAAGTGACCTGTCAGCCTCGGTACGGCTCATGCCATTCCGCCAATCTCCTGAGCCATCCTAAGCCAGCACATGTTCTGGTAAGTCACCTACTGACCTTGTCAAGTAATGTAAAAAAGAGCAATTCCAAAATCCAAAATCCAAAATCTAATACTGTTCTAACCTTTGGAGATTTTTTCTTCTTTTCTTTAATGAAGTCATCTTCAGATTCTGATGCTTGTCTAAATTGCAGAGTTCCCGAGTTAATGTAAAATCCTCCATACTTTGTAGTCAAAGAAGCAGGAACAAGCTCATCATACTGAAAGAGGAGAAAACAAATGGTCAGCTACACGTTCTGGTACTCAAGTCCACAGGTGCAGAGAGGGTCTTGACAAAGCAGATGTGACTGTGTTCTTCCATCACGTTTCAGACAGATGCTAAGACCTGCTTCTGGCCAACCACCAATGTCCAAGCTGAAGGATGTTTGGATAGATCTGGTCATCACTTTCAGTGAGGAAGGGAATCAAGGCCAGATCAAGGGTGTCACTTCCCCCGTCTCACCAGGCCAGCTCTTTCTTCACACTGAAGGCATCCCCACACTGACCCCTTCCCCACCTCCAGGCCATTATCAGTAGGAGCTAAGGTGGTTTCAATGGCATTTTTAGTAAGGACTTACCGCCTCAGAATTATCAATGAAGGAGTCCGATTCATCATAACCGTACCCCATGTCAATCAGGTCCTGTATCCGATCTTTTCTACGTTTCTTTCCACCCTAAAATTTAAAATAGGTCATGTGATTTTTCTATGTTTAACTGTGGTAGGAACACCTAACACGAGGCCTACCCTTTTAACAAATGTTTAATTCTAAGGTCACATGCTTTTTTTGATACATAGAATTAACTGTTGCTTTGAATTCCATCAACTAGTGACTAAACGTTGTAAAGCATGGAACAGTCACACACACACACCTTACACCCACCCCACACCCCCTTCCCTGAAGACCTTTTAAAATAGAACAGATTTGTGTCCACATAACATGGCCTAAGACAGAAGAAGAAACTAAATGGCTTTGTATGCAAAACATTTATTCTAAGCATAAATTCTAGAAGTAAAAGGCCCTTCTTGCTCATTCATCCATTTAGCTTCACACACTAATGCCTGACACATGCATTTTCTATACCTTAATGCATTTATCTAATAACTGCATTTTGTTCTCTCCAACCCCTGTACTTGTTTAGATGATAATCCACTAAAGGAACATAAAAATGTCTAGAAACCTCCCCCACTCAATGAGGTTGTTTTGTTGCCCAAGAGAGGAATCTTACATATTTTTCTTCAAATTTCCGGGCAAGGGCCTCCACTTTATGCCTTTCCTTCTCTTCATCATTGAAAGGATCTGAGAGATCTTTCTTCTGTAAAGAGAGCATTCCACAAAAATAAGAGCCATAAAAAAATTCCCACAATCCTATTCATAATATCTGACTGCAGTAGTGACTACTCAATACACATAAATTGAATAAAAACAACTGTTTTTCAGGAAAGGGAAAACACATGCTACTGTCCCATCAGTGTTTAATTGCCTGTTTAAGAAACTTAAGAATTGACTTAAGAAAGTCAAGTTTCCATTTATGTAATTCAACAAAACTTAACTGAATGTGTACAATGGTCCACCATAGCACTAGGTCCCAGAGGGCTCCAAAAATGGTAAACGGCCTTTACTCAGGGATGCTCAACCTACACAAAACTGTGTTTCAATACAGTTGGTTTCCCCTGAACTCCTAAATATTATTTTATATATTTAAAAACATTATTCTAAGAAGGTACACTGGCTTCATTGGACTTCTAAAACAATTAATGGCTCAAAAAGGTTAAGAACCCACTAAAAGCAGTCCAAGGCCTTGAGGGCTATTCTGCCTTACTGGCTGGAAGAGTGGTATGAACTTGCACTTCCCTCAATGCTACCAGAAGTCAAATCCAGGTTCACAGCATTCCCTTTCCTTAGAGGCTTATCTTGATGGGTCAGTAATCTCGTCTTTTCCCCCAATATCACTACTCACTCCAAATATTTTCACATGGATTTCCAAAGTTTATTTCTACTCTGTAAACTGTTGCATTTTTCTCATCAAGTACATTTTCCAGAGTTGGGACCTTAGGTTTCTTTGGCGAGGAACCTTCATTTTAATAAAGGTGTCCTGTACCAAATACATTTAAGACTTCAGAGTAGACCAAAATCACTAAAGATTCGATGCCTGTCTGAAGACAAAACTCAATTAATTGCCTCACTCTCCCATTTCTGCCTCCTGAAAGCCCACTCACCCATAATATATCAGTTAAATGATTGAGGGTATATATGTATAATGAGATATTAGGGAACATACATCTGATGCAGGCATCACAAATGAGTGGTCTTTAAAACACGCACTCATCTGTATATTATAATTTTTCTATAATGACCACATACAACTTAAGTGGTTAAAATAATCTTAAGAAAGTCTACCAATAAAGAGCAGTCTTTGGTGCGCCTGGTTGGCTCAGTCTGTTAAGCGTCTGACTTTGGCTCAGGTCATGATCTCACGGTTCGTGGGTTCGAGCCCAGCGTCTGGCTCTATACTGACAGCTAGCTCAAAGCCTAGAGACTGCTTCGGATTCAGTGTCTGCCTCTCTCTCTCTGACCCTCCCCTGATCACACTGTTTTTCTCTCTCTCTCTCCCCCTCTCTCTCTCTCAGAAATAAAAACATTAAAAAAATAATTATAAAGAGCAGTCCTGGATTAAATGTGCATGCCTTCATGTCTTGCAAACAGTAGTTATCCAAAAGCACTACTTCCTGAACATATGAAGGTCCAGCTCTGTCCAAACACAGCATCCAAGATGTAAGCTCTCCTCTGTCCAAGTCCTCCAGGGCTTGTATTTGTACCAGACTTAAACAATTACCACATTGTAACACCTGTTACCTATATTGGCCCAAGTCTAAAATACAAGACTGAAAGTTCCCTTGAGGCTGCGATAGTGGCTTCTCCACCTTTATATACTCCTTGGCATCTAGAACAATTCTTTTACATTACAAGTATATGGTAAGTGAATTAATACATGAATCTGTCAGGTTACATAATATTTGGAACACCACAGAGTAGACACAAAGAATCAGAAGTTCTGAATCTGAAGGCCAACAGTGAATCCCCTGAAAATGAATCCAAAGTTCTCTGTGTATGCTCCATGCATTTTTCTCCAATAGAGGAGGACACTTGGACCCCCAAGAAAGGTGAAATCAGGGTACTGGAATTCTAATTCCTACTGATTTGGTTTGAGCCCATAAATAAAGACTTTAACCAATCTCTGCTACTGTCTTTTCCTCTCAAGGAAGATCATCCCATTCCTACTTTGGAAAAGGAAGCTTGCATGGGTTTGAAATTATTTTTCCTCATCTTGCCCACTAGCCCAAATATAAAAGGTTGACCCTTGGCACAAACTTACTGGCTTCCACTCAGCTAATGGAAGCTGATCTTAATCAAGGAAACACATTTTTATCTGAGCAAAGAAAGCAGGTAATGCTTCTAACCAAAGGCACTCACCCCAAACAGCACAACAGTGAATCAGACTGAAGGGGCACTGGCCACTGAGTTCTGCTGCCAGAAATTTTGCCTACATGATCTCATTCTACCCTCAAACACCCTGCAAGCCAGGTACTAGGCTGATCCTTATTTTACTAAGAGCCATTCTAGAGACCAAAACACTCCAAGTGCAGGACCCCACTAACCCGGGCCTCAGCCTTGCACAGTGCTCCAGGGAGGTGCTTGTGTTCTTCACCTGCTTCCTCTCATACTGTAGGATCCCATCTACATAAAATACAAACACGTGCAAGACTAGAGGCACCTGCGAGGCTGAGTTGGTTAAGCAGCCGACTCTTGGTTTCATCAGGTCATGATCTCGGTTTGTGAATTTGGGCCCTGCATCAGGCTATGTGCTAACAGAGCAGAGCCTGCTTGGGATTCTATGTCTCCCCCTCTCTGCCTCTTTCCTGCTCACACTCTCTCTCCCTCAAAAATAAACAAACTTGGGGCTCCGGGGTGGCTCAGTCAGGTGGGCATCTGACTTCACCTCAGATCATGGTCTCACCATTCTTGAATCCCAGTCCTGCATCAGGCTCTGTGCTGACAACTCAGAGCCTGGAACCTGTTCTGGATTCTGTGTCTCCGCCCCCCCCCCCCCCCCCCCCCCCCCCCCCCCCCCCCCCCCCCTCTGTGTCTCTCTCAAAAATAAATAAACATTTAAAAAACTTAAACAAACTTAAAAAAAAAAGTGAAAAACTGATTTAGGCTCTCAGAAATCATGGCACTGGGCCTCATCAGTATTTTGGAAGGGCAGGAGAAGGGTTTCTGGTGTTCTGGAAAATGTTACATTTTTATAATCCAGCTACAAGTTACATGGGTGTGTTGAGTTTGTGAAAACACATCAAACTGTGAATTTACCATATATGTACTTTTATTATATACAGAATTCAGTAAAGAGTTTAAAAAATTTTTTTTCCATGTTAATGAATTATCAAAACTTCAGTAATAGCTGAAGCTGGTGATGGGTACATGGGCCTTATTAATTACACTACTGTCCTAGTCTGTGCACATTTGAGAAGTTCCATGCTAAAAAGCAAAACGGGCGCCTGGGTGGCTCAGTCGATTAAGCATCCAACTTCAGCTCAGGTCATGATCTCGCAGTCCGTCGGTTTGAGCCCACGTCGGGCTCTGTGCTGACAGATCAGTCCTGGTGCCTATTTTGGATTCTGTGTCTCCCTCTCTCTCTCTGCCCCTCCCCAGCTCGTGCTCTGTCTCTGTCTCAAAAATAAATAAAAATGTTAAAAAAATTAAAAAAGAAAAAGAAAACAAATCTGCCAGGAAAATAAATAGGTCATTTAAAAAACATTTAAGAGGGATGCCTGGGTGGTTCAATCCATTAAGCGTCCAACTCTTGATTTCGGCTCAGGTCATGATCTCATGGTTCGTGAGTTGAAGTCCTTTATCGGGATTTGTGCTGAGTGCAGAGCCTGCTTGGGATCCTCTGCCTCCCTTTCTCTGCCCCTCCACTGCTTGCTCACTCTCTCTCAAAATAAATAAACATTTACAAATAAATAAGTATAAATAAATAAGTAATAAAAAACATTTAAGAAATCAAACTGATTCTCAAAAGACCTGAAGGCTACAACCTAATTCCGGCAAATAAAACAAAACGACAACAAAAAAATTCCCACAAAATTAGGTATCTATTCATCCAGGTAAAGAAACTATCCAGAAGATAGTTCAGAAGAGATGAGCTATCAGTGTCTTTTCTTGTCTGTCCTTACGCTAAGTAGGCAGAGTGAGATTTCATTGAAAAGAAAAATGTCCAGCACAAAATTCCAGTGAATGAACAGTCATGGTTCTAGAAAGAATTCTATCCTTTCCGGCCCAGAGGCAAAGTCAGCACACCCTGTGGCTGCTTTGGGCTGAATGCTGCGGTCTCAGGGCAGCAAAAGCCTTTTGAGCCTTGCTTCCACCCCCAGAAGTCCCATTTGCACAGGATGCCCCATGCATTCTACCTACAGACAGAGTCTGGGGCTGCTGGGGTGTACCTTGTCTGCGGGCTGAAGGCCTTTCACCTTCCCTCGTATGTTCTTCACCAGCTCTGGGTAGAAGAACTCTGGGCAGCGCTTGTGATCTGGCTCAAAGAGGGTGAGTGTAATCCGAACAGCTGCTGCAGCCGGCTCAGAGTCCTGATGCTGTTCTGTTCCCCCAACGTCCTCTTTCCGGGATTTCTTCAAAAATGCAGGATTCAGAGAACCTGGGAGAGAGGTGAACTGGACCCTGTGGGGCTCCGACATGGCTACCAACAAGTCTTAGCGGGTGTCACTGCATGGCTTCTGTTAACATTAAAAGAAGGGCCAGGTCAAACCAAGATGATACAAATGATTTTTCCTGTTCAGCTATACAGATTTAAGCTTAAAAGACTCATTGTCAAGAAGAATCCATTGTTAAATTGACCTTAATTACCACCTAGTGCTTTTTTTCTGCTTCAATTACTATTCACCTTAACATTTTTATACATACATGTAAATCACCCAAAATCCTATTACTCAGAGATAATCAGTGTTCAGTACACTTCCTTCCAGTCTTTTTTTCTATACCTAGTCAAAAGATCCTTGATGTTAGAGAATCTATGCTGACAGACCCTTAAAGAATCCTCAAAATTGCAAAGACCACCAGAGAATATTTTTCATTTAATTTATCCAACACTTTTCTGGCGGGGAAGAATCTCTTTCTTAAGATCTCTACACTTTTATCACCAGCACTATACTTTCATTTAAAGTCAGTTTTCACAATGACAAAGTTTTCAACAGCTCACAGAAGGTACTGCCTCCTCTGGGATAAGTAGAAAACCAATGTCTCCAGAGGAGTGTGGCTCAGCTCATTTCCTAATGCACCAGTCTCTTCCACCCAAAGCTGGCTCTTGGCAAATTGAAAAATTATCACATACCAGAGACTTTCAAAGTTGCTTGGGAATGGTCAAAACAGATTGTAAAGCCCAGAATTCCAAGGGTTTACAGAATATAAATATAGCAATACACACGCACACACATATGTGCGTGTGTATATACGTACACACATAATTTTGCATGTGCTTTGTGTATAATGTTATGTCTTGTTTTACATAACTCACACTGTAGTGTGAACTTTTTTTTCCTACTGTGAACTTTCTACCATGACAGTAAGTAAGGATATTCATTGCAGGATAGGAAAAATGATAAAAACAACCTCAATATCCAGCATGAAGGGAATTGCTGACAAAACTGTGGTTTTTAAAAACTGATTTATATGAGTTTTTGATATTTTATAGATACATAATCCCTGTTGTACTTTTTCCTGTTGTTATTTACTGTTTAATTTTGATTTGAGATACGATAAAAATTTTTAATTCTTTTTCACATTGAACTCTAACTAGATTTCTTCCCAGCAATTATCACTAGCCTTTCTTTCCAGTGCTGATTTGGCCTGTGTTAAATAGAAATGTATTAGACATCCTAAAGTCTATTACGGAAATCCAAACTGTTAGATTAATCCGGTATAACCAGACATTCTTTAACAAGCACTACACTGTTGTGAAAATTTTTATGGTGTATTTTAATATCTTCAATCAAAGGTTCATCTTTATTATTCTTCTTTTAAAAGTAATACTTAGCGATTCCAGTCTGTTTATTATTTCAGATCAATTTTAGAATCATTTTGACAAGTTCCCAAGAAAGGCTCACTATATTTTGGCAGTAATGAATAAGCAGTGACTAATTCAGGAAGATTTACACATATCATACATAGCCACATAAGAACGTATACTAGTACCTAGGCAGTATTTATGCTTTCTACTATGACCAAAAATTGTGATCTCTAAGACCAGGGAGTAAAATACTAAAACTGAAGAGTTAAGGGGCACCTGGACGGCTCAGTTGGTTAAATGTCCAACTGGATTTTGACTCAGATCATGATCTCACAGTTCATGAGTTCGAGTCCCATGTCAGGCTCTGTGCTGATTGTGCAGAGCCTGCTTGGGATTCTGTCTCTCCCTCTCTCTGCCCCTCCCCCACCTGTGCTCATGTTTTCTCTTTCTCAAGATAAACTTTAAAAAAAAAGAGTTGAAATAATTCTAAGTAGGCAGTCAAGTGATTAGCAGCAAAACACGTTGGCAGTGCAAAAACCCATCGTGCAAATGCCGAAAAGAAATTCCCCTACAAGAAACTTCCAAGGCTCCCAAGGACATTCATGATGCACCGGGTTGTGAAAATAAATCACAGCTCAAAGGTGAGGCTTAAAGATCCTCCACTGACAAAAGCAGTAGTTTCACTACAGGAAGGGAAGCTGTAAGTCAGCTCATGGGATGTAGGAAGTTAACCCCGAAAGGGCCAACCAGGGCCCTGGCCCTGTCCAGGCAGTAATTTTTAAAATGTAACCTTATCATGATCCACATTTTAGACACTGTAACTTCATTCACCTAGATGGTAAAACTGCTTCTCTCAGTTGTGTGACTTTGCAGGCCTAAGAAATTACAGAAATAAGACTAGAGAATAAATCAAACCTGTAACATATTAACACTTACAAGTTAGATTTTGGATATATTTTATAATCATGATTACTGCTTGCTACTTGTTACTAAGTCATGTGAAATACTTAAGAGGATCAGACATGTTAATGACTTGAAATGTTAGACTTACAACTTTAATTTCAAATGCTTAAAAAAACAGAAGTTTGAAAGTGTTCATTTAAACCTGATTTATACAGCTATCAGACATACAAGAGTTAGGTCTTTGGAAAGATATTACTATTAATTTTATAAGTTCACCATTTTAGAAATTAGAAGTATTTGAGAGAACATAAAAACTTTAAATGTAATTAAACACATTTAAGGGGATTTAACATTGTAAAAAGAGTTCATTGTTTGGGAATTATAATCGGTTAAATTAGTACCTTAACTGAAGCTCTGTCAAGGATCACATACTCTTATTTCTATATAACTATTCTTCCATTTGTAAATGAAAGAATTTGGGGAAGTAAAACTTAAAAGGCTTAAGAAAACCTAAGCATTTAAATACTCAACTTCAACAAGGTGAACATCACTCTAAAAAAGCACAGAATTGTGCACATAAAAACGTGCCTCTTAAAAAAACCTCAATTGACATCATCCAAGAAACGCTAGCTGTCTGTTGCAACTTGGTTTCCAGAAAACGTGTTTTTTTAATTATACATCCTCTTAACTACTGTATTTTCAAATCTATTATCAGTAAAACAGAAAAATTAAGTTTTGTTTGCTGATCTTGTAAAACATTTTAGTGGCATTTCCTTAACTTTTTTTTTTCCCACAATAGGCTGTCCGATGAGAATTTTGTCTACTTTCTGAAGTGTTTGTTTTTGTTTCATGTCTTATTGCATTGGCTAAAACTTCCAGGGTAATATTAAACATGTATCTTTCACCATGTTCTGACTCCCATGGGAATGCCTCTAGGTCCAATGGGATGTTGACTTACAATTCGGATATTTTATCAAATCATTAAGCTATCCTTCAATTCCTCAAATTTTAAGTTTTTAAATTAGTAACATATGTTTAATTTTATGCAACCATTTCCTGGAATCTTAAATGCGCTTCCAATTATTGGTTTGTCCTTAAGACAAAACAGCAAATGACAGCTCCTGAAACTAACTGCCGGCACTCTGGGGAAACCGAAGTCAAAAAAATTCCAGGCTGCGGACAAGCCAACTCGCTAAAAACAAAACAAAACGCTCTTACAACCAACTTCTGTAAGACAAAAACGCCTACAGGAGGTGCGTGTGGATCCGCCACCTTTTCAAGGCGAGGGCGACTCAACAAAAACTCTTAAATAGACACTGAAGACTTACTCGGAATCTACCACTGGGATTGGAACCTTTCCAAAACTGTTTATTTCCCCTCCGGGATGTTTGGGCCCTGTGCTCAACTGACGTGAGCAAGTTCCCCATTCAATAACTCCGTTTTCACATACCGAAACTACGCGAGCATCCGCCTTCCTGCTGTCACAACAGCCAGCTCCCAACTTCTCTAAAAGTGTCAAACTACAACAAGGCTTATGTGAGAGCCCGGTCCCGACAAAGACACGCACCTTTGTCCCCGGCGCGACGCAGGCTACGGCCCCACGGGCCGCACTCGTCCCCCCGCGGCGGTCCTCATGCCGGCCCGGGCGCCCGGGCTGCGGCGCCGCTAGCGGCCGGCCCCCGAGCCATGCTTCCCGGCGGGCGGCCGGCCCGCGCCGCGGCCCATGGCAGGGTCCCCGCGCGCTCGGGGGAGCCTCGCCGGCCGTGCCGCCGCGCCGGCCCCGGAGGAAGCGGAGAGACGCCGGCTCCACGTCGGTCGAGCAACTCGGGACCTCGGGCGGGCTGCTCAGGCGCCCGGGGAGAACTTGCGCGGACACGGACTCCGGCCCGCTCCTCGGACGCCGGCCGTTAGAAAGCGCGCACGGAAGGATCCGTCCGCCCCCCCCCGCCGAGCGAGGCCACGCAGAACCCGCCGGGTGCGGGCCCCGGGCTCGGGCGGAGGCTGGCTTCCAGGCCGCGCCGAGGTCCGTCAGGGCAGCTCCCGGAGTGGCGACACGGCCGGCCCTCGCGCCGGACTAACGGCCCTAATGGAAGCGCGGACAGGAGGGGGCTGGAGGCCAGGGGCAGGGCGGGCCGCAGGGCCGGCTCCCTTGCGCACTCGGCCGGCAGCACCTTCACCACCGCCTCCGCCGCTTCAGACCGCGGGCGCTTCGTTGTCACGAGCGGAGGGAGGGGGAAGGAGCCGGGAGTCTCCGGGCTCCGGCGCGCCGAGACCGCGGCGCCCGGGTCACGTGCCGCTCGGCCGCCAATGAACCCCTGCGGGCGCGGTGACGTCAGAGCAGCGGCGTGGCCGGTGACAGCCGGCCCCCGTCACGTGGCCGGAGGCACTCCAATGGGCGGTGCCGGGGCGACCTGAGGTTCCCGGCGGCCCGTGCGTCGGTGGTGGTTGGGTGGTAAGATGGCGGCTGTGAGTCTGCGGCTCGGCGATTTGGTGTGGTGAGTCCGGGCGGCCCGGGTAAAGCGAGGTGCGCCGGGGAGCTCCCTCACTGGGCGCGGGGTTCGCGGCCAGCCCCGGAGCTGCCTTTCTATGCGCTCCAGGCTGCAGAAAGAGGGCGAGACGAGGTGCCGGCGCTGGGAGCGACGCCGGGCGGAAGGGGCAGCCCGGCCCCGGGGGACTGAGGCCGAGAGTGGCCACAGCGGGCCGGGCTCTGAGCTCCAAGGCGGCCCGGGGGAGGGCTTCGCTCCGCACCTGCACGCCGGCGGACACCGTGAAGGGAGTCTCCGGCGCCGCGCAGCTCCCGCGGACGCCGGATTCTTGGGGTCTTGCGGAGGCTTCCCGGAAAGGGGGAGAACCGGGGAGCCGCCGGGGCCATCTCGCCTGGGCAAGCCCGTCAAAACTCCCGTTGCGATGGAACCGACCTGCGCGGGCGGCTTGGCCGGGGGTGTCGAAACCGGACTGCTGGCGCTGCCCCGTGAAGAAATGGAAGGGAGACTTCTCCTTTACAACCGAAGGCTTGGCAGTAACCAGTGCCTTCTTGGGTGCCTCTCGTGGTCTGCTTCTGTGTCCCAGACTACCGCTCGAACCAAGACTGATCGTCCGCTTCCCTCGAGCGACGTAGCTCTCTTCTCGACCCAGAGGAAGGTTTCCATTAGCATGTCAAAGTCGGGCTGGTTTCGCGGTGAATTAAACCAGACTTTGTAAGGGGAAGTCTGTGTTTACCGAGCAAACTGCCCTCCCCGTCGTGGGGACGCTCTTAGACAAGTGACTTGATTGGTTTTGTTCTTCAGTGTTCCTTGACACCAAAAGAATGCACATACCTTATGCACTTTTGTATTCTGTTTCTGAAGAGTTTGGGCCTCTTGGGCCCAGCCGTGGAAGCCAATTTAAGAACTCCTGTTTGCCAGCTTGCCTTTTGGCACTTGAGAGTGCAGGTGGAGAGTTAGGAAAATAAATTTCACGTTGAGTGGGTTGAAGGAGATGGACTGGCTTTTCCAGGGCAAATGCTGACTCTGTGTTTTCTCTAGGGGGAAACTCGGCCGATATCCTCCTTGGCCAGGAAAGGTGAGTGTCTTGCTATTAATGGAAGACATCTGAAGTTGGGTGTGAGGAGGTGAAAATGTAAATGCGTTCCCCTCAATTTCTGGTATTTAGTTAAACTGGACCTACTTGGAAAAAAAATTATATACTTATTTATTTATGTAGTGTCTGCACCCAACCTGGGGCTTGAACTCACCACCTGGAGATCAAAAGTCCCATGCCCTTCTGACTGAGCCAGCCAGGCATCCTTAAACTAGACTTATTTAAATGGAATTTTTCTGTCTCTACTCTCGGATTGTTTAGAAAAGGCAATATCATATAAACCAGGTCATTTAATCTGCAGTAAATGCTTATCTCTTGAATCAGAGATGGCTTTGGTGAAGTTTTTTAATCCTGGAAATCGATTTCAATTTGAATTTAGCTTTACACTTAAATGTAACAAAAGGAGAAGAAAATAAATTCTCCAGGAAGAGAGAAATCTAAATGTAGGTTAGTGAAAAGTCAAAGTATTTTTGTCCCAACTAAGTTTAAATCTTCTTTTCATGTTACCATATGTGCTGCTCCAGTGCCTCTTTGCAGAAGTTGGCATTCCAGATTTTGCATGAGGCGATCCGTCATAGCTTTCCAAATGTTCTGTTTTTATATTCTTGCTAGGAGCCCAGGAAATGTCTTTAGACTGTCTCTTTGCAATATGGCATATCCATTGCCTCAGTTGTCCTTCATTGTCATTGTTACCTGTCTCAGCTCTTCCTGCAGTTTTTTGTGTTTTGTTTTATTGAAGCATAATTGACATACAATGTTACCGAAGTTTCAGGTGTACAACATACTGGTGCAACAGTGCTATACCCGATGGCTTACCTCTTATCAGAAGTGCATCACCACCTTACCTTATTACTTCACAGAAGTGTTTTTTAAGAGTGTTCTCTGCATTTCTTCAGTGATTTAAGGGTCACGTGATTGTGGGGGTTGGTTGACTTTGATCTTAGTTTTAACTGCTTTTAAAACAGGGCTATTGCAGTGAAGGGGATTTTCTACCTACCAAACACTGCTACTTGGTAGATGTATTCTAGAAGTTCCTAGAATATTTGCACTTTTCCACACATCTCAGTAGGTGAGTGCCAGGTTTGGACATGTAGTAGGGCCTGGGTTCTTTTCAAGAATATTCCTTTTCTTTTATTTCATTTTTTTTTCCTCACCAACTTAGAGGTATGGAAAAAACTTTTTTTTCCTCCTTTTACTCCCCAGATTGTTAATCCACCCAAAGACTTGAAGAAACCACGTGGAAAGAAATGCTTCTTTGTGAAGTTTTTTGGAACAGAAGATCAGTGAGTAGTGCTCATCAAAAGTTTCACTTTTTCTGTGGGCGTTATCCTGGATCTGAGCTACTTGCCAGAATGTTCTAGGGACCTTAGTTCATTTTTACCGTAGTCTGTCAGAATGGCATATCATTCTGGCTTTATATCTAAATAAAAGATGCTATTCTTAGCTCATAGAAATTGTTCTGGGGCCAATAACAATGTCAGTCAGTAAGAAATAGGATTCACTATCTTCTTAATATGATAATTACAATAAGAAAATTTCTCACATCTTTTTATCCAACACCATAGGTAGTTCCTTTTATAAGAACCACATTTGGTTCTCTTAATGGCTGTTTATCATTGTGGTTCATGTATGAGGTATATACTGAAAAAAAAAAAAACCCTGAAACCTTTATTATAAGAGAAGTAATTGTTTGATTCTGTTCTTTGTAAAACTAGGTGACTTTCTGCAACGTTGTAACAGTAGAGCTTTTTAACCAGATCTGTCCTAGAGTTTAAATCAGGACCATTGATTTGAGATTCTTGATATACAACATACAGGTCACAGTGAGGGGCAAAATATGTATTTACTTGAGTTTCCAGTGATTTATTCAGCTTTTTCATTATTTCATGGATCTGATTACCTGGTCTAGCTAGATGCTTTACGTAGTTGTATTTCCACTTATGATTCTTAGAGAAAAATGTAGCTTTTGCTTTGAAAAAAGTGTGTGTGACTTTTTTGAGGAATCTAATACCAGTGGTTAAAATACACGTTTCTACAAAGTGATATATTCTATAGCAAAATCTCTTACAAACAGTGTTACTCATTCTGGAGTTTATATGCTGAGTACTTATCCCAGTTGAGAGTTTAACTGGTATGTCTACCTTCACCATGCAGATCTACTCATATACTCAGCCCTGTTCTCTGTCACAAAACAACAGTCTTTTGATGACAATATTTTAAGGTAGTCACTGGCCCAAGAGTTGTGAGAGCCAGAGATACTCTGGAAGCAGGAATATTCTGGTAATGCCATTGACTTGACAACAAAGATTATTCTGATACATAAAAGAAGTGCTAATTGTTTCATTAGCAAATTCAAGTTTCTGACACTGAAGGGAACTTCTGGAGAAAGGTGAATGTTGTGGTCCTTGCTTTTCAGGAACTTGAGTAACAAGACATAAACATTTCAGATGGGAATACATGCAGAATGAGTGATATGGGTGATTGATTATTAAAGTGTTCTAGAACAAGGAGACAGTAGTGGAGAACAGGCAGGTCAGAGAAGGCTGATGGAAGAGATGGGATTAGAATCCACCCTTGGAGGATGGATAGAATTTGAATAGGCAAGAAGAAGGGCATTGCAGGCAGGAGGAAGACCATGAACAACTGGATGTTAAGTTGAATGTGTGGGCAGAGAGAGGCTCCCCACCTGGGGTGAAGAACTGTGCTTGAGAATGAGAGAGGCAGTATGGTTGGTCCAATTGGTTAGCTAAATGAAGATGTACACAAGACTAGAACAAAAGTGGAAACTCATGGAAAGTGGGGGCTTGATGACATTACGAGAGGTATAAAAGCCTTTGTGTTCTTAGAATTTTAAAAATGCTGGAAGATCAAAAGAATAAACTGATCTGTATAACAAATACTACAGATAAGACAGAAAATTGGAGTTGAGTGAATTTTAGCACTTAGCCAGGTACACAAGTGAAGCCAGTGAAAAAGATGCACTTACCAAACACGAAAATAATCTAAAGTATTAGTAGTGGTGGAGAGGATATGATTCCTGGCTAAAGTTTTTTTTTGTTTTGTTTTTAATGTTTTATTTATTTCTGAGAGACAGCATGAGCAGGGGAGGGTCAGAGAGAGGGGGGATACAGAATCTGAAACAGGCTCCAGACTCTGAGCTAGCTGTCAGCACCGGGCCAGATGCTGGGCTCGAACCCACGAACCGTGAGAGATCATGACCTGAGCCGAAGTCAGACGCTTAACCGACTGAGCCATTCAGGCGCCCCTGGCTAAAGTTTTTTTGAGGGGATTCATAAGCAAGTAGATTCAGGGCCGCTGTAGATACAATATCTTTTAAGCTTTTTAAACTCCTTTGGTAGAATGTAAAAAGTTATATAAGGGACATCTGGGTGGCTCACTCAGTTAAGCATCTGACTCTTGCTTTCAGCTCAGACCATAATCTCCTAGTTTGTGAGTTCAAGCCCTGTATTGGGCTCTGGCACTGCCAGTGTGGAGCCTGCTTAGGATTCTCTCCCTCTCTTTCTGTGTGCCTCTCTCTGTCTCAAAATAAATATATATTTTTTTAACTTAAAAAAAGATATTTAAAAATAAAATTACCACAGGCTAACATGTTACCTTTTTGTGGCTAGGCAGTTGACAATGAAAGGAAACAAAGAGTAAGGATCTCCAAACACTTCTGAAGGGAGAA